AAAATGTACTCAACTTGCATATGGACACATAGATTCCTTTAGAGCAATATCATAGCAGATTATATGTACTTTATTTTGTTGAAAGTGTCTCCCTTTGTCAATGCCATACATGTTGAGAGTCAACTGGCATCAATTTCATCTGACCTGAAGCTATAATGTCTATCGAATTTCAACTAAGTCAAACAACATCATTTTGTCAGACTCTGCAAGTGATTCATACCCATTTTACGACTTTGATAACTCGACTTTAATGACTCGCCGACAATATAAATACAGTCCCTGCACACAGATAAACAAGTTTAGTCCACAAATTGTATATATACTAATTCCCATTACGTCAAATTGATGTCCAATAAATGAGTTTGCATAACTCGCATAAATTGCAACTGGCTGGCTTTCGGGCTACATAGTTAGCAATCCAAACAGCTGGAGGACAACCACAATCGCCAGCAGCTGAGCCGCAAGTCGGGCCGCATATTTTGAATGAACGCATTGCAACATTAAAACTCATGCAAAGATTTATGACAATTTACACAAAATGTCTAAATCAGCAGCAACAGAAATGTGGTATTGGAGCATTCGGTTCGCATTTAAAAAGTTAACTCCAGCTACCGACTTTACACACAGCCTTATCAATCGCCATCAAATCGCGCCGATCTGTGCGCCAAGTTGGAATGCCGCCAAATCAACGGCGCCAGACGAGACGCAAACAATGCATGACAATTAATTAAGCTTTGGCACGAGTGCTGCCTGGCCAGTGTCCAGAGCCGGTCCAAATCGATGCCAACTCATTTGGCTAATTGTCTTGCGATTCAGCTGGCCAGATAAGCGCCGAAATAAAATTGCACTGGTCTGGTCGGGTCTGACTCTGACTGGGGCTTTGATTTTGGCCGACTCTTTTAAACGGACAGTCGCAACAATTGCCTTATTGAACGGTGGGCGGGCCAGTCAGAGGCGCCGGCACAGGTGACGGCGCTAAGCGTTATGAATATATTAAATATCTGTTATTAAGATTTTCGCAAGGGCAATTAAATGACACTCGAGCGACAGCTGACAGGCCAGTAAATTGACTATTAGACTACAAAGCTAACGATTTTGTATTTATTTTCTTTATAAATGCGAATCAACTGAAAATTATAAATGCATCTAAATAAAATACGGCGTTGTTCTGAGGCTCATTTTGTTTTATTGCTGTCAATGCTTTGTGGTTATTGGGCAAGCTTGAGACAATGCCCATTGTTCGGGCCGCAACAAAGAGGCACTCGATGTGCGTGGGCAACAGGGTGCAATGCCAAGTGCAACATAAACAACAAAAACAAAATGTGTTCGATTCGTGCGCAAATGTTCAGTTATTTACAAAATATGATGCCCCCTACACTAGCATATCCACATATATGTGTTCCATTATGATGCGCGCATGTACATTGACCTGAGAGGCAGGAATGGACAGGGAGTATGAATAAATGAGCATTCGCAATCGCATTCGCTTTTATCATGAAGGTCAAGCCATGACGGCATGCCGTTTCGAACAATACAGTCTGTTTCGTATTGTAACTCATATAGACAGGGCCTATTTAATTTTAGGTCCCACATATGTTTAACATAAACTAGCTAAAGTCGAAATAAATGTGGCACAATGTGTTTGACAAGTGAAACCCATTAAATTTGTAATTTTTATATTTATATTTCTTGCTAAGGCAATGCGAACACAGCCTTAACAACTTTATCAGCTGCTAGATGCCAACTTGTCGTGGGAAAGCGAAATTGTTATTAGCCAAATATGCGGCTTTTACTTGGCCTTTAGTTATAGAGCCTAATCAAAGAAATCTACGCCCCCCACAAATAACTCACGCGTTATCGTTTGCATAATACCGATACCGAAACTAAATCTTCCTCCACGATTATGTGCATAATATATTCAAATATGTTTATGCCAACAATGTCGGGGCACGTCTTTCAGTTGTTGGGTAGTTCGCTTTGTTGATTCATCAAACCTGTTATTCTGTAATGCACTTCGTCTCATATTTTGCCATACTTTACAGAGCCACTTTGAATGCTGAGCCTGCAAATTATTGGCACCGCCCCCTGCTACCAGATTTTGCCCGCCCGACTGGTCATTGGATGGAGGAGCCAACATCGTGCATATTGATTGCATTAGCAGCATAGAGCTTGGGTTGGGTTGCGGTGCGGGGACAGACTGTTGGGTAGAGTGTCTGTGGATCATGGGCTGGAATTTTGTGTAGTCACAGTCAATTCGAATTGTGAACGCGCGTTAGTCAAAGTCAAGCAACAAGTTGTCCAATTTGCTCAGCCGTTTGGCCACGCGCATGTTCCTCATTTAAATATTTCGCAAGTGCGACTCCCAGCCGCAGCCCATTCAGAAGTGACCCAATTGGAAGCTTGTCGAGTTCTATGTGTCTATTACAACATCGTCTTGTTATTATTGTTTTGCCCGTCTGTTGTCACTTTCGGCTGAGTCAGCACTTCCCATGTCCGCAGCATTTAGCCAAGTGTCATTGGAGCCAAATTGCATGCATAGAGAGATCGCAGCAATTTGAATGTAAATTATAATTGTATATTTTCACTTTCAATGGACTATGAGTTGCTCAGTGAGTCACAACACATCTCAGCATCTTCTCATCTGCTGGTTGATTAATATTTCTTTATCAACGAGCTGTCGAGCACGTAGCCCACAGTAGACCTAAGCCGAACCGCAGGTTCGGGTCGTATCACCCCTTGAATTCGCCTAAAGTTTATGTGTACAAGTTCCGTTTCTATAGAGGAGCTGCCGCATACCCGGGCACACTCCTGACACGACCAACTAATTTAGTCGTCGCTGTTCCCTTTGAAACATCGCAACATACAGATGTTTTATGTGTCGTACATCAAAGTACGTTTGTTTTACAAATGCTGCTGGCTTCCAGAGAATTAGGCGAAATAACAACAACAACAACAACAACAACACTGGCCCAAATTGTTATGCATGTCACAGAAACACAAATATATATGTTATGCAGGAGTCACAAATGTTTAACCAACATTTTTCAAAGTTGTTCCGCTTTGGCAGGGCCCCCGCCCCAACCCCAATGCCTGCTCCTGCGCCTGCCCCAGCTCCTGCAGCAAAAGGAAGCAAAAGAATCGTTTTTAATTAAAATAAGTAAGCCGAAACCCGCATTACAAATTTAACTACACGACAAGCTGTTTAGCAGGTGTGCGCATATTGAGAAGGGCAAATACATAGTTGCTAAAGCACAAAACACAAATTTACAAGACAACATTATTCTTACAATCAACCACAAATGAAATGTCAAATCAATCTGGGAATAAGCGAAACGTGTTCAGCTGCCACATTGGTTCAGTTTCTATATATACCCGTTCTTGATCAGGACCTGCTAAGATGATATAGATACCATACATCCATCTGACTATATCTAAGCTAGCTAGTCAGTCTCTCAATATTAATGTATAGTACTTATATGGAGCAGGCAATCTATTCACATTCAACCATTATCTCATATAACTGACAATGAAGACTTCTTTTAAGCAGCTGACGTATTATATAACCCGTAAAGGATCTATCCAATGAATAGCTAATTAACTATTTAAATAAATAGCAAATATCTCAAATATGTATGCCTGCGAGGGTATGTTATCTTCGACTTCTTTTTTTTCATCTCTCAAGTACAATGTGTTAAACAAGATTGTGCCTAGACTTATTACCGTTTCGGCCGTAAAACGAGACAACCATAAAAAAGACGTGTGTATGTGTGTGTGTGCGTGTTTTAGAGCTGAAGTGAGCAATTATTGTGAATCAATAAATTTGTGCATGACACTTGGGCTTCGTAAGCTAATAACAAGTTGCTCTCCGTATTATTGACAACATTTAGTACGCTCAATAAATCAATCAAATTGATGAGGCAAGGTGCGAACTACTCAAATTTTTAAAGAAAAAGACCATAAATCCAAGTGAAACGCAGCAATTGGCATATTTAAAGACATAGATATTCGTACACAAACATATATATGCAGCTGTGTATATTGTGAATCGTTTTAGATTTCATCAAATCACAGTTACGAGCATCCGTCGCGCTTGCATCCGATACGCTTGTACCCTGATGCCCTTTAGAGAGGCATGCAGACAAGGGGTATACGCAGTCAATCTCTGCACTTTCAGGAAATTCAAGGCATGCTTTATATTTTTTTTTTTTTTTTTTTTTTTTTTTTATGGTTTAAGTTACTTTTATTTTTGCTAATTTTCTGTTACTTTTCACTATGCTTTATATGAAATGCAATTGACATACTGGTCAAACAGATGAATATTGAATTGACAAGTTGATAACGCGTTAATTGCATAAATCTCTGTCATTCAATGATTAAATGCATATATCATAATGTTATGTAAGTATATGTCATACTGCTGTACTTTGTGTGGTAGGCAAACTTGACGCATTGATACAGGGTATACAAGAGTTGTATCGGCAGTGGATTTCGTATGCAAATATATACTCTTAAATAAGCCGCGCAAATATGCATAATTTATTTGCGGCTCGTTGTCGTCGTCGTTTCCTCACGGCTCATACTATTTTGTTTGTCTTTGTCTCTTCTCTTCTCTTCCCTTCACTTCTCTGCTGTTGCCATTCCCTTTCCATCCCATCCCATCCCATCCACACATCCTCTATCTTTGGCCCATGAATGAATGAATGAATTGATAGGAGCGTGCGAAATCAGCACAAGATGCTGCAGCTGCTGCCATATACATATTTAAAAATGTGCTTAAGTAAAGACTATAAAATCTGGGCTCAGTATTTAGTGGGTAAATAACAATTATCGAGCCCCAAAGATAAAGAATTGGCCAATAAACAATAGACGCAAATAAATGGCAGCCGGAAATCGTTTTGGCAACTGACTTCAAGTGTTTTTGTTCTTGCGTAATTCATTTATGAGCACAAATTGCTTTTAAAGGTAATCTATAAAAATAGACGATCAATTAACTGACTTACCTCAGCTCCGATATATAAATGTGTGCGTAATGCTTGCACGTTGTGGATATCTCGGACTCTGTCGCGCCGTGCCTAATGCTGCATAATTCTGGGCAACAGCTTCCGATTCCGTACCGCTGTCAGGCGCCTTGAGAGGACACGGATACGGACACGGATACGGATGTGGCTGACGTTGACGTTGACTTTGACGTTGACGTTAACAGTGTCTGTGTTGACTTTGTTTAGGGGCTTAATTTCATGAACTTTTCTATGTAAATTTTATCTCTTTATTATTTAGATAATTTTGCCTTAGTTCACATCACATGGCAGACGCGGCTGCAAATCGATTAAAACTATGAATGGAAAATAGCTTCAATGGCCTTGGAATATTTCACTCGGTTAAACGCGACGCGACACTTGACACACACACACACACACACTTACATACATTGCGGTCAGTGTTTAGTGATCGTTAAGCCACAATGGGACAGTCCACGGAAATGGCATTGACAGTGGCCCATAATATAAATTATGCACTTTATTGCTGAACTAAAACAAAAGACTTTTATAAACAACGGCAGTTAAAGTTAAAACAAAGATGCGACAATTGGAAAGGAAATGCGGGCATAAAGAGAGGCGCGGAATCGAAACACAAACTGAACTAGAGCAGACTAACGGACAAGTGCGCATAACCAGCAACAACCGGCAAGATATCACACACACACACACACACACACGCACACACACACATTGAAACTATTCAAACGAAAACGAAAATGAAGACATTTTGCAATGCATTTCATTTTTTGCTACGCTCGTATTTACAACGCAAACTGTGGGACCAGACAAAGAAACACAAAAAATAAGGAACGCACGCGTAAAAGCCGTTGGCACAAAATTCGCGTGTGTCGTATGTCCGCCTACGAAGCGACCAGCCGGCTGAACGTCACAAGAAAGACTGAGGCGGCAGAGTCAGCCAGCGCCAGCGTCGACCAGGCCAAACGGGCGTCGACGCTGACGCCAACGTAGACGTAGACGTTGGCTTTGCCGTTGACGCCAGCGACTGTTCTCGACTGAGTTTTTTGAAACGCATTGTGTACATAGCGACAGATAGTATACAAATATGACTTATAAATATATACATATATATGTTTGTGTCTGATTATAGGGAATAGTTTTGCAGAATTTCCGAGTCGTTAAAATTCGTTAAAGACTAGTTCCGTTCCGATAACGTCACAAAAACAACTTACAGTAGCTAAAATGAAAATGAGACACAAATAGAGAGGCGGTGGGGGGGGAAGGGTTGTAAGACAGTGTGACCAGTTGGGAGATCCCACAGGTGCCTCGCATGTTGCTTTAAATATTCATACGAAACTGGCAAGTAATAAAACTGAGCATAATTTTCGAGCTAAACAACAACTATAACATATCTATCCAACTAGCATACATGTGTGTATATACTATAAACGGCGCACCTGTGCTTCATTTTAAATTCTATAAATAATTTGAAAAGCCGTTGATACAAATTGCAAAAACAAAGTAAGGGGGGCGAAGGGTACAGTAACAGTAGGCAGTGGGGCCTGTGGGCCCTACCTGTGGGTAGTAGGCCCTGGCGTTAGACCCTGGCGTTAAACAGCAAAAAAGCCGGATAATAGAAAACACATTCATACAAGTTGTTGACGCCAGCCGGCGCCATAGGAGCGAAAGAGAGAGAACCAGAGAGTGGGAGAGCAGCGAGTGAACGTGAGCTTATGCCGGCAAATGACGCCGGCGTCGCCGTCGACGCCGGCAGCAACGTCAGCGTCACACGTGGCGTATGCGTAACATTGCCGGCCACTGCAATCGAGTGTCCTTATGCTCGCCTGTATTGCTGTTGTTTTTAAGGATGAGTGTGAGTGTGTGTGAATTTTTTGCACGCGTTATCAACACGACATTACGTATACGCATAGTAGGCAAACTTTATTTTTAAGAGCGCTTCTCTTATCGTGGGCCCGCGTTATAATACCCTGTACCCAAATAGAGTGCACAAAATGGGCATATTGCACTCGGCCAAGTGCCTGGCAGAAGGAGGCTTCTCCGATACGATAAGGAATGTTTTTTCGTAGCCAGCATCAATAGACGAATCGATCAATCTTTCGTCGATCTCAGAGCCTAAAGGCAGCATATTCTTCACATAAGTTAAGCAATTTATTGCAGTAGCACTTTGCATTTCGCCCAAATCGATAAATATCGATTTTCAACCAACGCTTTTCTATGCACATCTCAGAAATATTAGAGGCGTGCATAACTGAATGTTTGTTGAGCCAGCACAAACTTGGGCACAGGGTACCTCCTAGTCGAATACCCTTGACCAATGCTTTTTGGTTGGCAGTCGCCAGGCAACGCGCCCGTCCCGTTGTCATCTTTGAGCCGGTGCCTGTGTCGGCCTACGGTTTGTTTGCCGGCTGCCAATCGTTTATACAAGCACCAGCGGCTCGCATGTGAGCCCTCTCCAGAGCACACACAAGCCAGCGGGCGCCGAACAAGTTGCATTGCGCCCCCCCACCACTTGCCCCTTTTGCTCTTTCCCTCGTTGGCAGCCGCATGCCTGAGCATTCATCTGTTTGTCTGGGCACGTTGTTATTGCCACGCTTGTTGGCTCCGCCCCGCGCTGCTGTCGCATTGCACTTCCAGCTGGTGTTGTTATCGTGGCTGTCGTCGGGCTTAAACGGCTCTTAGCGCCGACATGTAATCTGTTTAATAGCCACTGGCCTCGGATTGGTTATTGTGCATTTTTTCACACGCGCTGCTTAATTATGTATACGTACTTGTCTGCAGATTGGCCGTGTTGCACTTCAAATCTGCATACACTTTTTTTTGCCCAAGCACACATTTTTGGCCTTTATCAGCACATGCGAAAAAAGTGCACCTGTTGCATGGCCGGAATTGTAAAAATAAAAAAATCAAATCAAATAAATGCCAGTTGAACACTTTAAGCAATTCAGTTTAGGCCGTGGCCTGAACTCGAACGTAAAACAAAGCCGTTGCCAATGTGAGCCTAAACTTGTTCCGCTGTTCCACTCGGCTCCACTAAATCTGAAATCTCATCTTCCAACTGATTTGCATAAAGACGAGTTGAGCTAACAAACAATAACAAATAGAAATATTGCAATGCTTTTGCCTATTCAATTAGCGTCTAAGCCTCGTTGACTATTGATACCAAGCACATTGAGTGTGCCGCAATTGCGATTGTGCTAATGGCTCAATTTTAAGAAGTTAACAATTTATAACACACAATCAAGCAATTTACCTGCAAACGTCTTTATCTGATTTTCGTAACGCTTTCATCTTCATCAGGTACGTGGCACGGGCTAAACCTGATCTCGGTAATGAAATGCAAGCGGTTTGTTTTTAATGATCTAGTTTCGTTGTTTGGCCAAATCGACTTATTAGGGAGCCGGTTAAAATGTTAATAAAATAAATAATACTCATAAAAATTGAAAGCGTCATAAATGCTTGAAGTGCTAACATTTTAAATACCCGATTTATATTTGGGAACTGCGTATATTTTATGAAACTACTTTTTGAACTAATTTGGCAGCACTCGTAAGGGCAATTTAACGCCATCTTGTGGATGCGACAAGAATACTGAGAACACTTGCCAGCAGTTTGAATAATATAAGCCTATTTAGCCATGTTATCAACCCGGCGAATTGGTTGACAGCATCTAGCGGCAAGGCTATTCATTATTAAGCGGCATCTTTCGAGTTTTTGTAGGCAGTAACTGTACTCAGTATTATTTAGAGAATTGCACTAGGTGGCAGCAGCACAACTTGTATACATAAGAGACATCTATCAGGCGAAAGCCGACTTACAATTTTAAATAATTTTTACTTTATATTTAATTAATTATTTAATTACTTTTCGTTTGTACCAAAATGTTGTTTTTTTTTTATTAACAATTTCTATACAAAAGTCTTAAACGTACGAAATGCATTGTTTCGCCTAACTAAAATAACAAATTGTGTTATAAAACTGAAAGGTGAAAGATTGAAAAAAACGTTTGGGCTATTGTGTTTCAACGAAAACAGTAAATACAAATTGAGCTTATAACAAATCGAGGCTATAAGCAGCCGATGTATGCATGATATAGTATAGCGTGTATGTCTGTATGGAAATCAACTATCCGACGCCCACAGCTTGAAGGTGCGATCGAACGAGGTCGTCGCTATGTACTGCGAGTTGGGGGAGACGTCGACGGAAATGACCTTGTTGTCGTGGCCCTGCAGTGTCTTGAGCGGCTGCCACGTCTTGTTCGACCAGATCTTTGTGGTCGAATCGTAGGAGCAGGTGACCAGAAAGCTGCCGCCATCCTGCTGGTATTTCACGTCCGATATGAGATTTGTGTGCGCTGGTATGGTATAGACGGGCTGGCGACGACGCAGGTCCCAGATCTTGCAGGTGTTGTCCTGCGAGCCGGTGGCTATATGAAAGCCATTGGGCGAGAAGTCTACGCCGAATATGGCGCCCAAATGGCCCTCGAGAAACATGATGCAACGACCCGTGCGCAGGTCCCAAACACGTCCGAAAGCATCCAGGCCGCCGGTGACCAGGACACTGCCATCCGATTGGTAGCTGAGGCAGTGCACCGGCTTGGCGTGTCCCTCCTGATGCAGGACCTCGGTCTTCTGCTCCAGATCCCACAGACGCCACGAGGAATCGTAGCAAGCGGTGGCCAGAAAACGGCCCGATGGATGAAACGCCACCTTGGACACGCGGTGCGGCATGTGTCCCGTTATGTCAGCAATGGATTCCTCGTTGCCAAAGCCCCACAATTTGACGGCACCGTCGTGCCCGCCCGAGGCCATGGCCACAACATTCTGCTCGTCCAGCTTGACGCCCGGCCGCAGCGCCACACCGCCCACGTAGCTGGCATGGCCGCGCAGCGTTTGCTTCAGCTCGCAGTCGGGCACGCTCCACAGCTTACACAGACCCGACCACGAGGCCGTCATCAGGAGGGAGGAGTCCTCGTTGAATGCAGCGCTGCTGACGGGCCGCGTATCGCCCACCTGCGAGCACAGCGGCGCCAGGGATTGTAGCTTCTTTTGCATTTCCACCATGCGACCGGCTCGCGTGGCGCTGGGCACTTCGAGCGCCTCCCGAGCGCGCTCCAGACGATCGCGAGCACGTGGCAGGGAGTAGTCGGCGAGCCAAAGGCGCGCCACACGCAGTGTTTCGGGTCCCTCGTGGTACCAGGTAGCCTCCTGCTCTCTTTGCTGCAGCTTGCGCTCCTCCTCCTCGCTTTGCTTTTGCTTGATGGCATTTTCGCCCAGGCTGGCGAGCAGCTCCTTGAGTCGCCTGCGTCGCTCCGCTGGGCCCTCACCAAAGTAGCAAATTGGCTCGTTTAACTGCCGAAGATTGTTCTTAATCTCGGAATCGTCTGTGGATACGTTTATTTGGCGAGCGCGCTTCTTTCGCTCGAACTCCTCCAGGAGCGCCACCTTGTCGCGCTCCATCTCACCCTCCAGATCAAAGTAGTCATCGTCTATTTTGTTAGCAAGCGACGCGGCTGTGGGCGGTGGCATGGCGACTTTTGTGGCATTCGACTTTTTGTTAGTTTCCTCATAGTCCTCGTCCGAATCAATGTCTTCCAGCTGGCCAGTAGTTGTTGTTGCTGCTGCCGGCATTGTGCCGGCAATTGAGGACGCCGCGGCGGTTTGCCGCTTGCGTTCTGTTTCTTCCAGCGAGCCATAATGCAAGGTACGCTGCCGCTTTATGTACTGAATATCGTCGTCATCGGACATTATATTTTAATCCAAAATAATTAATTTTTAAAATAAAAATTACGCCAACGAAATAAACAACAAAAAGCCACTGCAAACGTTTATCGCATCGATATATCGAAAACACAATTGCAATCTTTACAGGGTTGATATTCAAGTACCGATACTTGTTGTGTATAGCCGTAATCGTAACTGTTCTGTTATTGCATGGCTATTTATAGTTTAAAACCAGTTCTTTGAGCCTGTTAACAGTTTAATAAAACTTAAATACTAGTTTCATTCACCAATTTATGCCTAAACTTCCTGTGTGGAATCTCTATGCTTAAAAACTTTCACATAACGTTGAATTATGTAAACAAATAGTATTTTGATGATTAACAGTTCACAAATGGTAAATAACATAAAACAAACAGTGACAAGGTGGCAGAAAAATCTGAGCCCAATGAACTGTTATTAACAGAAGAAACTCAGTTTTTCGTTCCGCTGAGTGAATCGTTCAATCGAACTTTTCCGTACAACTCGCCTTATTATTTTTCACTAGCACAAGTTAAGTTGGAAAAAGGCAATTGAAAATATTAAAGTCGGCCTGCAGAATGAGCGCGCCGAGCAACAAAATGTCGGCAACAGATCAGATGCGTGCTATGCTGGACCAATTGATGGGAACCACGCGAAACGGCGACGATGGACGCGGCCTCAAATTCTCAGATGCACGCGTCTGCAAGTCTTTTCTGCTGGACTGTTGCCCACACGACATCCTGGCATCCACGCGCATGGATCTTGGTGAGTGTCCCAAAGTGCATGATCTGGCTTTTCGTGCAGATTACGAAAGTGCGTCCAAGTCGCGTGATTACTACTACGATATCGAGGCCATGGAGCATCTGCAAGCATTCATTGCGGATTGTGATCGGCGCACAGATTCGGCTAAGCAACGGCTGAAGGAGACGCAGGAGGAGTTGACAGCCGAGGTGGCCGAGAAGGCAAATGCAGTCCACAGTCTGGCGGAGGAGATTGGCAAAAAGCTGGCCAAGGCCGAGGCACTTGGAGAAGCTGGCGAAGTGGAAGACAGCATGGAACTGATGAAGGAAATTGACGAGCTGCGCGGCAAGAAGATCAAAGCCGAGCACGAATACAGAACCTCAATGCCAGCCTCAACCTACCAGCAACAGAAGCTACGCGTCTGCGAAGTGTGCTCCGCCTACTTGGGCATACACGACAATGATATCCGTCTGGCGGACCACTTTGGTGGTAAGTTGCATCTGGGCTTTCTCACCATACGCGAGAAGCTCATCGAGCTGGAAAAGACAGCAGCACCGCGCAAGGCAGAACTTAAGCGCTCGGGTAAGATACCAGATCGCGAAGAGGACGGCAGAGGCAGAAATCGGTACTTTGTAGGTGGACGCGAGCTGGACCGACGATCGCGTGTTCATCGCTCTCGTTCCAGGGAGCGCCAGCGGCAGCGCGATGCAGAAAAACAAACCAATGACAGATCGAGCGATAGAAGCGCTGAGCGGGCCAATGTACGAGAAGTTGACAGCGAACGAGCCGCGCCCCGTGGACGCGAAGCTGATGGGCGCGGCCTCGGACGCGGTGGTGGGGGAGGAGGAGGAGGTGGTGGTGGCCCCGACAACAACAACTCTCGAGATAATCGCGATAATAGAGATCAGCGTGATGTACGAAGGGATAGAGATCGCAACATGCGCAACGACAGAGGACGTTTCGGTGGTGGTGGCGGCGGAGGAGGCGGTGGTGGAGGAGGAGGAGGAGGCGGTGGCCCGAATGATCGTCGCAATGATAGACGTCGCTCCCGCTCGAGAGATCGTTCGCCGCGCGATCGCCGCAACTTCAACAACAACAATTTCGGCAACAGGCGACGCTCCTTCTCCCGCGAACGCCATCGCCGCTAGATATGTGGAGAGGCAGCAACGGAGTCCAGTTCCACACGGCAGTGTCCAGCGCACGTACGTAGCATTAATAACCAACCACAACAGAAAACAAAAACAAAAAAAAAAAAAACAAAAACAACAACAACAACAGCAACAACAAAATACCAACCAACAATAGAGCAGCAGAAATTAACTAATTGCATTATTATTTAATTAATAAATGACTTAAATACACAGCTAGACAGCAATATAGATATTTTTATAAAATATTATTAATCCTTATCTTTGATTTTCATCCGTGTTAACTAACAGAAAAACAGACAAACAAACAAACAAACGAAAACTGTAAGCTGAAACTAAACAAATTGTTAAGTAAATAATACATGAAAATTTAATAGTTCGACAGCCCACTCCGGCAAGTTGAGTTGTAAATGTACGGTACGTAGAGCCCGAATGTCCCGAGTAACCAGAGTAATTTTACAGTCCTAATTGTGCCCAGCAAAGCAAATATACAACAAAACAAACCAAATTGAGCTATATACATATAATATCACTCAGCACGGTCCCCCGGCTGCGGGGCGTGTCGGCCCCCTGTGCGTACGAGTATTGTCGCCCCGTTAGGGTAAGCCTCTCTCACACTCTCTTTCAAACTATAAATTGTAACCTTAAAGCGTTTTTCTACTTGAAGTCACTTTGCAGCCTAAAAGCCGTAAAGCTCTGGGTACGTATTGAGTGCATAATACATTTAAAAACAAAACAAAAAACAAAGAAACAAACAAACCAAACGTCCACCCTCTAGCCTATTCGAAAAGCTAGGGATCTCGCTAATTACAGACATGAGTATGTGATAGACATACCCGATTATACGTTCATTGTGCATAGTATTTGGGTACGTATTCGTCGTCGAAACCGCCCGCTTGGGTTATTCTTTGGGAGTGTTTGTTGGTTTGGTATGTATGCGTATTGTTATAATCGTTAGAAATGCATTAGCAACAAATTGGTACGTATGTCCAAGCAGCAGCAGCAACACCAGCAGCAGCAGCAGCAGCAGTAGCTGATGAAAGGATTGTGTTGATTCATTCCGTAGGGTTCGATGAGGACTTTCCTAACGTACGTATTTTTCAAAAACAAAAAACAACAATCAAAATTTTGTAGCGGCTCATAAATATGTAGTTAAAAACCACCAATACGCATATTAAACTTAATCTCTTTCTCATACTAAAGTTGTTATGCCTAAAGTACACAGAAACGATGCGGGCTAACCCAACCGGCTTAGTATGTGAGTATTCGGGCGTCATCAATGTTCAAAACAAATATTTTATTATTATAATAATAATAATCTTCAAAAGTAATTGGGTGGCTCTTCTAACGTTGTTTCTTTCGACAGCATTTATTGACACGTTGATATTTAGTATGAGAATGAAGTTTAAGTGTAAATGTTCGCATGGGGCTAAAGGGACGTCAGTTTTGTGGGACACTTACATGTACGTGGGTAAGATCTATGCAACTAACTTATATTTTGAATTTAAAGTTAAAAACAATAATATTAATTATTAATATTGGACATAAGCAATATGTAAAAATTCCACACATGTAACTTATAATAACGCCAAATAAAATTTGTTTTGGGTTCTATACTATTTTCCATAACATTTTTGATTGTGAATTAAAGCAAATGAAGTTCTAGGCATCATAAAGCAGGGTATCTACGAGCCAGCACTATCGACATGAGCGCTAACCGCAAATTTGCAAAGAATTGCTTACCCCTTTCTTAAAGCCGCAAAACGAACAAGTGTAAATGTTGTATTGGAATTATATTATTTATATCTCGGATAAACTAAAAGGGTAACCAAGCTATGCATTGGTTTTTATGGACGGTAATACCTTATTTAACGCGCCAAGCAAAATGTTATTACTTCTCAAAAAGCATACTATACTCAAAATGGCACTGTTAGCAGCTGTTGCTGAGCGGTGGCAACGCTATGCCATTCCGCCATCTTTTGCGCAGCTGCTGTTGTTTCGCCTCTGACGGAAATTCTTTGCACTAAAAGTAAAGTTTATTATTAAAAACAAAACAATTGTCCAGCTTACTCAATTTGTGAGTATAGGTTGCCTAATATAAGAGCTGTGTTAAACAAGGTAAGTTAAGCAAAAGAAACTACAGATATGCTTTGATTGATAGATCTGTTAAGGCTTGGCCCTGCGAGAAATCAATAGCCGCTTGGGGTCGCTGGACGCTTTATGTCCGCTGTAGGTCGCCACCAGCACCGACGTTTTTGGCGCTAAATTTATAAAAATTGTCAATGCTTGCAGCTAAAATGTCGAAACGCACGCGCGACTCAGATTCGGAGGATTTGCAGTCCTTTTTGATCAACTTTCACAAGGAAATCGAGGAAGGCAGCGTTGATGCCAAAGATGCCAAGACAAATGGTGACGGCGTGCACGATGATGCCGAGGAGGAAGAAGAACAAGAGGACCAGGATGATGATGATGACAAGTATTTTATTGACGACGAAGGCAACTGCTACATAAAAACCACACCAAGAAAACAACAGCAGCTCAAAAAGAAACTCAAGCCCCAAGCAACCTCAAACACTACAGAAACAGGAGCTATATCAATACGCAGCGCTTCGCGTGCTGCCAGTAGCACAGCATCCAAAGGTTTGCAGTGTATTTAGTCACCACGTTACCCGCTTTCATAGCCATTTCTTCTTTTGTGTAGCCATTAATTTGCGTCCAGCCAAGCCCAAACCGGCTGCACCGCCACAAAGAACGCCTAAAGCAATTAATGTACGCCCCGCTCCCCCAAAGAGAACGCCTGTGAAGACGACTTCAATTACCGTCAGCACACCCAAAGCATATCTACGTTCCGCAAACACGAGAAACTCTGCTAAGGCCACAAAATCTGAGCCGGAGTCGGAGTCCTTCAATAAAAAGGTGGTGGATTTCGAAGAGCTTGTGGATGATCCGAGTGTCGTTGATGCATCTTCCGTTTCTCTTGACGAATCGGAGATAACTGTCGCGGTAAATGACGCAAATACAACTAATCAAAGCGACGATCCAACCGCTAGCAAAGATAACTCTGACGATGAGGTCTATGAATTTGACGACAATGCAGCCAATATGTCCGCCAGATCAGACGTTGACTTTGTGCTCAGCGGCAATCAGTACAAGCTAAAGCCGGCGACCAACTCGGCTGGATCGCAAAAGTACGCCTGCTCCCATTGCAGCTATACGACCAATAAGAAATTCCTAATATCACGACACGTCCGTTCTCACGACTCGGAACTGTCATTCAAGTGTTCGATCTGTGAGCGTGGATTCAAGTCCAACATGGGTCTGGTCAATCACTTGAACACACACATGGGAAACAAGCCGCACAAGTGCAAGCTGTGCGAGAGCGCCTTCACGACCAGCGGAGAGCTCATACGACATACACGTTACAAGCACACCAAGGAGAAGCCGCACAAGTGTACGGAGTGCAGCTATGCCAGCGTTGAGTTGACAAAGCTGCGCCGCCATATGACTTGCCATACAGGCGAGCGTCCGTACCAGTGTCCGCACTGTACGTACGCTTCGCAGGACATGTTTAAGCTGAAGCGTCACCTGGTCATACACACAGGCGAAAAGAAGTATCAATGCGACATATGCAAGTCCCGTTTTACGCAGTCCAACTCCCTTAAGGCGCACAAACTTATTCACAGCGTGGTGGACAAGCCAGTCTTCCAGTGCACCCTGTGTCCGACCACGTGTGGCCGTAAGGCTGACCTGCGCACCCACATGGCTAACATGCACACATCGGATAAGCCGCTCATCTGCAAGCGTTGCGGCCAGGAGCTGCCCGACCGCTATCAGTATAAGCTTCACATTAAGTCGCACGAGGGCGAGAAGTGCTATCGTTGCAGCCTCTGTAGCTATGCTTCGGTATCTCAGCGGCATCTGGACTCGCATATGCTCATCCACACGGACACGAAGCCCTTCAAATGTGACTTGTGTTCACAAGCGTTCCGGCAGCGTCAACTGTTGCGTCGTCATGTAAATCTAATGCACAACGAGGACTACAAGCCGCCGGAGCCGCGTGAAAAGATGCACTCCTGTCCCAGCTGCTCGCGTGTCTTCACACACAAGGGCAATCTGATGCGTCACATGGAAACACACGATGATACGCTGAATGCGCGCGAGGAGAAGCTTAAACTAAAACTTGGACGTAGCGTCCGTTTGCAGCCGGACGGCAGCATTGTAACTTTAGTCAATGGCACCGATATTGAGGCACTTGGCAAGGGCGATGCCATTTCCATTGACATAGACGAACAGTATGAGCTCACTGAGTTGCAGGAAGTAGATGAGGAGGAAGAAGAGCCCAGTGAAGTCGTTGAGGAAACGTTTACTGCACCCACCTTAAGAACAAGAAAGGCAAACAAAACTGTCGTAATAAGAGAACGCGAGCAGAGCTCGTCAAGTAAACCAATTATTATAAATCGCCAATTAAGAGCTCCGCGTGTCCACCGAGAACTTACCACTCAAGCCGGCACATTCCGTATCAAGGAGGAGCCGGATGCAAACGAATTTACCGTAGAGCTACAAGGCGACGATGACCAGTTTATGGTCGTCCAGCTAGTCAACGATGATAGCGAAGTTGTGGTCAAGCGGGAGCCCAAGATCAATGCCAATAACTGTTTTGGCTTCGAGGTCAGTTAATCAATTCCAAAATATATTTTATGTTAACTTTTTTGTAAATTTCTCAGGATGATGCCGATGCAGAATACGAGGAGTATGTTGAGCCTGTAGCTGAAGTGGATGCTACGTCCCAGGAGTTTCTGCAGCTAATGGATATGATTGAGCAGGATACGTAGCTTAAGCGTATTAATAAATAAAGATCTTATAAAAGAATGTATAGAATATATGAAATAAAAACATGAAACCTGGATTTAAAATATGTATATACTTATGGTTCTTTTATATCTCCTGCATGTATTCCTTCAATCTTGGCATAAATACAATATTTTTATTTAAATATTTCAAAGATACTTCCGTGTGTGACAATATATGTATGTAATATTCGCACATTGTTATTACGAGGTGCATTTTGGCGTGCTCAATAAATTCTCGGCTATTTGTTGCATCTCTATTCTTTCACAATAAATCTCTTCAGCATTTGTAGTAGTTTCTTTTCGTGCCATGTATACCATAAAAATATATGTTATATATGTATATATAGTGCAAAAAATTGTCTGCTGTGCAGTGCATTTTAACATTTTTCTTGTATCATTTAAATATGTTTTCAAAGTTGTTTGTTGCTTAAAACGTTAACAATTTGTTAGTTAATGCATACGTATAAATATTTGTATGCATACGATTTGTATTCTGTTGTATTTGTATAATATTTGAACATTTTTTTAACAAATGTAAAATGGAACAACGTCAATAAAGGAAGTGCACATTTAGTTTCGAGCATTCGATACAAAGTGAATAATGAGACATTTAGAAAGTTTAGAAAAAATTGCTTGCATAATGAAGTACATACATACAAAATACGTTTAGAAATACAACAGTCAAAATGAAGGAACCTTCTATAATTACCAACTAAATACTTACCTTTTTTAATCGAAAATAACATATAGGACCTAATATAAAAACAAACAAATTCATGGGAAGCTGTGCTATGGCTTTTCGCTAGCTCTTCATAAGCTTGGCTTATCAATTAACTTTTGGCTTAACATTTTTTTGTAAGGCTTGCTGCTGTGTTGGTTCTATCAATCAATAAATCAATCATTTCCTAAGTTTTGTGTTCAAAAAAATTCAAACCATTTGCTCTTTAGCAGCTTTGGGAGGCAAACTGAACCAAGTACATAATAAAATCCTTAGAAAATTTTCAGTTTCTGCAAAAAACGCAACAGCGGCGCACTAAAGCAGGCTGCTTGTTGTTGTTGTTGTTGCTGCTGCTGCTGCTGTTGTGGATGTTGCGTTGCTTTTGGATTAGCAGCAAAAGAGGAGGCGGCTCTGACGTGGGCTTTGGCACTGCCATTTGCAATTCACAACTGCTCCCTCTTCTGCCTCTTTGGCTGTTAATTACAATTGAGAGTGTTCTGGTTGGGGCTGCGTGTGACATTGTTGTGATTGATTTGATTCGACTGCGTAATGCTGGCACTGTCGCTGCTCTTCCAGGACAACAGCTTATTGAGCAGCCTATCCATATAGGGATTACCGCCCAGACGCGCCACCTGTCAAGCCAAAGGGAACATTACATAAGTCAGATTGCAAAGGATTACAAGCAAGATTTAGTAAGAACCTCGGCGCGCGCCTCCACGTCAAGTGTTTCGAGCACTTTGCGAGTGTATTGAAAGCTGCCTAGTTTTTCCAGCAAGCTAATACAGTATTTCTTGACCTCAATGTCGTGCGTGCGCTGACGCAAAATGTCTGGGTAGAAGAACAGTTGAATGAGCATTAAAAATCCGTAACGAGGTTAGCTCGAAGAACTTACGCAAAACCTGTTTGTCCTGTTTCTGCGTACGCACCGCGTGTATGACTGGAAACCCAAACTTGCCCTCAGTTAGATCCTCAGCAAAACTCTTGTTCTCCGTATACTTAAAAGGTGAAACGAATAATTCAATAAGACCCAGTATTCGCAACGATTATACGGCGTTCCACTTACTTCCTTCAAACTTAAGTTGCAGTAGTCATCACGTATTTGAAAATATAGGCCCAAAATGGCTGTTAACTTTGAATAATCCTCCTTGTTGTCACTAAACAGCTGCATAAGGCGTATGGCCAACATAAAGAGGCCTCCAGTCTTACGCACAGTCATCAGTTTGTAATCAGATTCGGAGGGACATGTAAAACTGTCGCGCCAGTAGATCTCCATGCCTTGGCCGCGATGCAGTTCCAGCAGCTGTTCCGTATAAACCTTGGTCGCCTGCCACACCATATACAAACAACAAACGTATTGATTATTGATAAGGTTTGATGAATGAGGGTGAAACCAGCTTGCCTCTGGATGTCCCAATTGCTGCACCTTTTCCAGCGCCAGGAACAGAGCGTAGTTGGCCGCATTGATGGTGCTGGCCACGCCATAAATGGAATGTGCCACGGGTACACCTCTGCGAAGTATCGAATTGTCTTCAATATCATCAATGCTGTAAGTTAGTATTAAGAACACACACATATAAATATTAGCTTGTGTGGCTGTTATCCATGAATTAAACTAACTAATAGCAAACTAGGGTAAAATTATGGCTGTTATCTATCTACCCCACAAATTTCAGGTCTAATAAATTATGAGTATGGAGCAGACCTCGCTATATGCTAAGCACAGGCAACATTTAAACAAACCAAAAAGAGTACATAAATTTCAAACCCAGTTTGAGGCCCATATCACTTCAATAACATGCCCGCTGGCAAGGCAAACTAAACTGGGCAGCAGGCATTTTGCGTAATTAAAAAATGTTTGCGCGCGTGAAAGGCTGCAAACGTTTGTAGGGAATTGGAAGCGTGGGCGTTCAAGCGATGCGCAAAGGCAGTCAACCTAAGTGGTCGGAGTATGGAGGGTGGCCCGAGTGGGGTGGTGGGTGCTGGGCACAGCAGCGGAGCATAGCGGAGCGGAGTGGGCCGGGGCGGGCGGGGCGGGGCGGGCATGTTGCATTTCAAGAGTTACAATATTGTGACAATGGCTGTCGACAAGCTGACTTAATGACAATGGCGTTGGCGATGGCGATGACGATGACGATGACGATGCTGACGCCTTTGAAGCTCTGTTCTTGCCACTGAATGCAGCTGGCATAGTTGTAAGAGCAAGTTTTTGTCGATATGAAAATGCATTTGAACAAAAAACACGAGCCCAGGGAGACTTGTGTAGAAACCCATTTATAAGTAAGTGGGCGGAATCCAAGGCGCCGCGATAACAGCTCTCAGCTGTCAGCCTGCCAGAACAATGCAGGATATTAAGCGGCATTGAGGACATTTCAGCACATTTGCATTTGAATAAAAGGCGCTGGGGGCGGCACGGGCGGAGCGACAGGTGGCAAAGAGACAGGATTAGCCTGCATGATTGAAGCGAAAAATAAGTCGAAAGGCGCAGCCAAACAATGGCAGACGACAAAGAGATTGATAAGCATATATATATATATATATATATATATATATATCTTATATAAATATATATATGTAAGAGCAGCTATTGTTGAGAATTGTTTGAAGAACAGCTACCATGGGAGTGCATCAATTAAAGCCTGCGACGTTTTGTCAGGCACTTTAATTGATGGAGTTCAAAGATTAACTGTTGCGCATCTTTAATACTCTTTATATAGCCCAGACAGACAGACAGACATACATACATACTTCTCCTGCCTTTTGATTCAACAGTGGAAAATCTAAACATTCAATGCGATTCGATTGCGAGGCATGAAAAGGCACATTTTGCAAATAAATTCAATTGAATTTTATCATAAACAGAACGCTGCGGGCTTTTGTTCAAATTTTGGGATTGATTTCGAAGGCAAATACCCAAAATGTACCCACACGTACAAACAAGGTCGGGCCGTTGGGCTGAAGCGTGCGTGTGTGTGCGTGCGTGTGTGTGTGTGTGTGTGTGTGTGTGTGTGTGTATGTGTATTTAGAGTGTGCAAGTGTGAGTCATCTGCCCAAATTCTATACAAATACTCTACGCTAAGTGCCCGACCAATGATGATAATGCAAAGTATATACAAAAGTGCGATATGAAATATGTATCTGATATGAATTTCAGCAATTGCCAGCTGCCAGATAATAGAATGCTCATCTGAGCCGATCAAGAGTTACTACATTATATGCTATAGAAGTGCAGGGGCTTCTTTTACTCTTCAGCATGTCATCCGTCATCCGAATGCAAGCTGTTTTTACAAAATTTCCAATTTTTCCACGTACCAAAGTTTATAGTCTTTCTGTACTTCACACTTGCACAGGAAACTATTTTCGGTTCTTTCTTTATTTTTATTTGCTTTACTTTTTTTTCGAATTTAACGCGCTAATAAATTTTGAACTTAAATCGTAAACAGTACTACACAAAAGGCTAGCAACAACAAACATATGTAAATACACAAATACAAATGTGTAAGAGTGAAGTGAGATAAAACATGAGGCGATGCGGATGGTGCGGTTGATGGGGATGATGGGGTAATGGTGCGAACGTGTTGGGTGTACGGCGAATGTAAACAAAAGCCAAATGCAAAGGCAATATAAAACGCAACCAGGCAAAGGTCAAATGATTAGTAAAAATGCAATATTTCAACAGACCTATAAATAAATTAAAAATCTATTTGCCTACTTACAGCAAACTGGAATTATGCAGCATTTGTACAATTTCGCCAATCTGCGTCAACTTTTCGGCCGGTATAAGCAACCAGTGATTGAAGGCCAAGGCCAACTCGGAGCGAAACTGTTTGCCAGGTATTTGTTGTATGTACGTAAAGGGCTGCAGCAGAATCTGTGCGTGGGCGATGTCAACAGAGCATGTAAATAAGCCACAAAAAAATAAACGCAGAAGGTTAGTGCTTGGTTGTGCTTTTGCCCAGCAAACAGACAGGCAGCTCAAAAATGTCAAAGATCAAGTGGCAGCGCTGGCACTGGTTAACGGTTAACTGGTTTTGGGCTTGGGTGGGATGGCTACCTCGTCCTGCTCCTTTTGCGTTGATTTGTCTTTGGTTTTTTGCAGTATGCCATTCAATTCGTCCATTGTGTCGCGTGTGTTGTGTTTGCGTTTACTTTGTATTTGTTGATTGACCACGACAGCGGTTGGTAATCTGAGCGGGACGTTGCCCAAGCTTTCAATACGCGTGACTAGAATTGTTCGCTCGTCCGCTCGATGTGGTTGACTTTAAAGCAGACAGTGCCAGACAGACCAATCGCACAACGCACCAGTTAAACCAACTATAAACAGACTAAGGAAGATTGTTGATATCTTATCGATATATCGATATCGATACAGCACGATGATTTTGGATGAGAGTTTCCATAAATGCTCTTGTGGGGGATATCGTCACGAAAATTGGACGGATATGACAAAAATGTTAAGGGTATTTAACATTTTCATTATACATATTTTTTAATTCAGTTCCAACTAATTACACTTTTAAGAATTCATACTTACAATTAACACCTCTATTTTTTCATATTAATTCTTTAAGAATATGAAATAGCTGGCCACACAAACGATTGCACAATGCTGAGATCCAACAAAAAACCTAGTCTAGTCTGATTGGAGTAAAAAAAGAACGGAATACCCTAGATCATTTTGTATAAGTTATTTTTTAAATCGTTTTGCAGCACTTTAGAAAGCGCAACTCTGCACATTGGAATAGTATCGATAACGATACGTTAAATAGTTCAGCAAGGTGCCTGCGTGGAAATTAAGTAAATAAACTTTATAATCTTTAAACGCTTTGTTTGTCAGAAGACACATTGGAATAATGGCAGCATCACCGCCAGTGCGTATGAATTGGCATCCAAATATGAAACATACCGAAGTGGAGCGGTAATAAAGCAAAAACAAACAGCGACACCAATTACACCTGCAGTTTTGTTTTCCAGATGGATTTGCATTTATCCAGCCTATATTAATAGCAAAAAGACCCGCCAGGAAGGCCGCCGACTTCCCAAAGAGAATTGCGTTGAAAACCCCACCTATGTTGAAATTCGTGATGTGCTCTCAGTGTCCAATGTACAATTTGTTGTGGAAAACAAACAGTACTGCCGCGAAAAGAGCAGGGAGCTGCAGTTCCGGGGTCGGGTGCGCGTGCAGCTACGCAACGCGGACGGCACATTGTGCAATAGCGAGTTCTCGACGCGTGAGTCTATCATGAGGCATGTAGCCGGTAAAATACCGCAACTGAAAACACGACAGAACAAAACAAACGACCCTCAGCCGCAGCCACAGTCGAGTGGGGCTGGAGCTGGTGGTGGTGGCGGTGGTGGCAAAAAGGGCAAGGGAAAGCGTCGATGAATCTGCAAACATTTCATTTTGAAATCTGTTTAGTTGATTTTTGTAATAAATTCTATACATTTTGCGCTAGCAAAACATCTGTTGTATGAAGTTCAAGTGCAAGAATTCGGCCTTGGTCGAATATAAGAATATTATATTTAGTACGAATGTCTAAGCTGACCCTAAAACCAAAGCAGTTGAAATACGTACATTAATAACCATTGCATATGTGCTCAATTAAAAATGTCTCAAGATCACACGGTGTCAGCGAAAATTCCGGCGAACAGTAAAGCAAAACAAATCTAAATTCGACTGACAGTCACGAAGCGGCAGCAACGAAAAACTAAAATAACGTCTACGATTTCACCCAGTCAGCATATATAACCCACAGCGCGTCGCCAATGCACAGCCAAAACCCTATTGGAAAGACGCTAAGGCGGTGCACACATGATGATACGGTCTAAACATAATAACACTTTCTACATCAGCCCCATAGTCATCACGGTATTGGTGCTGATAGCTCAAGTATCCATTTCCGACGGTGTGCCAACCACCAACTCGACAGCTGCACCGTCGACTTCAACATCGCGCTATGACAATCCGCTGGTCGAGCACAAGCACGAACGTAACTGTAAGGCGCTCTGCGAGCACTGCGGCTGCCTTGGATTCTATTGCGGCGAGGAGTGCATCTGCGAGTGCAACGACGAGAACTCGGACACGGAATGTATCCACACCATGCAGGTAAATGCGCGCACGTTGGAATCGCCCTTCGAGATTCTCATCCAGGGACCAAGTAGCAATCGATTTGTCCGCAATGCCCAACAGTTCGAGCAGAAACGCGAGCTTGTGACGAGAAGTGCCGTGGGCGGGAAGACTACACGAAATCGTCGTTCCACCATTATCATCTACAAGCCATCTTCGGCAGGAATTAAAGGCGCAGCTTTGTCACTGAACGCACTGGAAACATCATCCACAAAAGCAAAGAAAGCGGATCTTGCACGCCACAAACGTTCCGTGGATCACCTGGAGTGGTTTAACGATTTTGCCAGCTCCTTGGTGCGTCCATCTCCACTGGGCACTCGGGGCCAGAAACAGCGTGAGGAAAAAGCTGCCTCGTTTAAACGCCAAGCGGTTACAGAAGGTCCGCTGCCAATGCTTCAGCGGGAACCATGGTTCCTAGAACATACAGCTCCGAGGCTTAATCGTCCCGCGCCTTTATTTAAGCGCCAGCATTTCAGTGACGACAACCAAAGTGCCAGAAAATCAGAGAAAAGTTCCTCGCGCAAAATCAGACTCGATTCTTTTGAAGAGGAATCCGAGACGAAGGCTCCAAAGTCCAAACCAGATATGCGTTCATTTCGCGAAGCCCTGCAAGTAATGGAGCGTATTCCTCGCGTGCTTCAGGATACGGTTAGCCATTTGTCCGCCGACGACAACAGTGGCGATGTCTTCAGCTTGAACATTATGAACGATGTGCTGCCCAAGAAAATTCCGCGCAAGGAACGTGTGCCTCGACGGCTCAGACAGAGAACTCGGGATAACGACGTCGACCCAACGCCCGTTGCGACAACTAGGGCACCCGTTGCTGTGCCCCCAGCGCCGCTGTTGCCCCTGGCACCTCGTGGTCTCTTATTTCCCTGGCTGCGGCAGCAACGTTTGAGGCGTTTGCGTGGACAACAATAGATGTAAATTTCGGTAGTCCCATTTATGTCTGTTTTCTATTTTTAAGGATTCTCGAACGGCTGTGCATGTGTGTTTTTGGCTTTAGATTGGGTGCTCGTCTTGTCTGGACGACTATTTATAATTTCCGTTATCCTTTTTGAAGGAATGCCGTATATTTGATTTGAAAATAAAACTTTCTAATGTCTATGACTGTCGGAACTTGAATTGTATCAAATAGAAGAATGGATTCTTGTACAAATAATTGTAAAATTGCGGACAATCAGCAGGGCAGTGTTGTCAATTCAGCTATTAACTAGCTAAGTGTGGCCATATACGTATGGCAGTGTTGTCAATTCAGCTATTTTCTAGCTTAGTGTGGCTATTAACAGTTGCCATCAGCTGGAAACGATAGAAATTACAATGGCGACTTGTAACAACCCTGTTAATCGCCAACTTGTGCTTAGAAAGTATATTCAGCTATTTTTAACATTGGATTCAGCAACTTTTTGAAGCGGCAGTTGGCAACACTGATATTAAGCTGCTTTTGGGTCAGTGCGATTGTAGAAAGTGTAAGTGTTGCATGCCTTGAGGCTGCGACCCAGAAACGAACCTTAACTAATTGAAATGTATACTTATGGGGATTGCAGTTAATCAATACAAGCGATTGCAAGCGGAAGAGCATTAAAGAGAGCGACGATGTCTCGGTCAAACGTTGGCAACAGACGCCAACGGTTTCCAGTTGAGTGGATCAGTTGTGCCGAGCAGTGCGTCTTCAGTTGTTGCTCTACGCAGTCCACTTAAACAGCTTTTCAACAGGTAGTTAACAATTTGTTAAAAAGTGGTAAAAAGAGAAATTTTACTAAATCACAGCAGATCCAAAGAGAGCGGAATATCTCAACATTGTAATCAATGTATTCGTAGTGTTACAAAGTGCAACTAAATAAAACAAAGTAAAAAAAAACAGCCACATAGCTGTATCATTCAGTCCCCCCCCCGCCTTGCTGCTTGTTTGGTGCTGTGCAGACGATGACAATAAGTATCTGTGTGAATTCAAGCGTGTTCGTTGTGTGTGTGTGTGTGTGTATATGCATTAACAAAAATAAAAACAAAGAAGTAAATACAAATGTACAAATACTATATGCATATATATAAACGCACCCAAATGAAACAAGCAAAGATATTATCAGAGCTGTGTGTCTCCTAAGTAAATACATATGCATATGAATTGTAGAGCTCGTTGAACCGATATACGCTCACTTCAAGCACTGAACCACCATATTAATAGACCGCACTGGAGCACATCTACCCCCAACAAAGCCAATTGAAATCTGGAATCAATGAATGTGATTGAACATGTGCTGAGCAACAAGTATTGACAAGTGCTTATATGTATATAAAAGGGGAAAATGCCTCAAGCCCTAGAATATTTACCTGTAAATTAGTTCTCTATACTTATACAAATTATTTGCATTTTCAAACTGATCTCCGGAACCCCAATCGCATTGTTGTACATTCAGAATTGCATTGCGTAAAAATTAGAATCATGTAATAAAACGCCAAAGCCCCCGTTTGCAACAAAACATGCTAAAGTATCTCGCGTGGCAGAGCGATAAAAGATAACTAATACAGCGATATGTGACTAAACTAGCACACATATAGCGCATACATACATACGCACATACATACAGCCGTTTGTATTAACGAGTTGGCAACGATAAGCACCGTTAAATTTGTTTGATGATAAAAAACAACAAAAGAAAACAGCTGAGAAATCGGCATTTCTTTATCATCTTATGGGCAGCCGGGGGTTGGGAGGAGTATAAGTGGGCGATAGGAATACAGTTTGTTGCATCTATGCTGCCAAATACCCTGTAATTGTTACCCAAAGCGCACAAGCTGCGAAACCTATGACACAACTTATTTTAATTACATGCAATAATTTTTTCCACAAGCCAATTTTAATAATTAGCCAAACGTGCGTTAAAACCATAAACTTTCGCTGCTCTATAAATTGACCACCTGCTTATGTAGATAAGCCCAAGGCCAAGCAAGCCAGATACAATTTGTTTTTTGTATTAGAATATTATACATACACATATATCTAAAGAAATATATATATATATATATATTAATACATATACATACATGCACATTTCTCACATATCACACCTCAACTTATCATGGACTCCACAAAATCTCTTGACTATTCACAGCATGAACCAGCGACGGTAACGCTAAGGAAATTCAAATACTTCAATTGCGTCCACAGGCTTATCATGGAGTCCTGGCGCAAGATTCGCGCACGCATGGAAATCAAAAAGATGCCCGCAGAGCTAGACGATGATCTGGAAACTTTGGAGGATTATACGCAGCGCTGGCGATCCGTGCGCATCATTTACTTTACGATGTTCCTCATGGCGCTGGGCTTTAGCATCATATTAACCGGCATTTGGCCATTCCTTAACGAGGTGCGTACTAAGTCAAATTCCATGCTCGCACACAAACACTTACGCAAGCATCCCTATAGCTAGATCCCAGTGCGGGCAAAGAGTTTATGGGTATGATTGTGGCAGCTAACCCGTTGGGCCAAATGATCTTCAGTCCCATCTTTGGTTGGTGGGGCAACAAGCTGGGCACCATACGGCTGCCGCTGCTGCTCTCTTTGGCGCTCTTCACCTTGGCCAGTGCATTGTATTCGTCGCTGGAACTTGTGGACAATGTCAAGTACTGGATGCTGGCCTCGCGATTCCTCATCGGCGTCAGCTCGGCAAACATTGCACTGTGCCGCTCCTACTTGTCGGCGGCTACGCGTCTGAGCGAGCGCACACACGCCGTCTCCATGGTATCTCTTGCCCAGGTGCTGGGCTTTATTATTGGTCCCGGGCTGCAGGCGTTGGTAACGCCACTGGGCCGAAGCGGTCATGTCTGGTTTTGGGGCACTATGCACGTGAACATGTACACAGCCTCCGGCTGGATAAATGTGCTCATGAGCATGGGTAACTTTGTAATGTTTTTGCCGGGCATATTCAAGGAACACAAAATAGCCGCACGTGAGATTATGGTAATGCAGGGCGGCACCTCGGAGCGTGACACCTGGAAGGCAATCAAACCGAATTACTATTCCGCCTGGACGCTAATTGTGGCCTTCTTTGTGCTGGTTTTCAACTTTGTGCTGCTGGAGACGTAAGTTTGAACACAGCTCCAGTAAATTCCTACAACTATTTCACTGTAAATTGCCTCTTCACAGATTGGGTACATCGCTGACCATGGATATGTTTGCCTGGACCAATGATGAAGCACTCTACTATATGGGCATATTTATGGCCACAGCAGCCATAATATCTCTGGTTACTTTTGTGCTTATTGAACCACTGTGCAAGCTTTTTGCTGAGCGCTTTGTGCTCATCTGGGGCGGCTTCTCTTTGATGGTGGTGGGTCGTCTGCTTTACATACCCTGGGGACCGGATCCGCCCAAGCTGGCGGTGGCCTTCAACGCTAGCGCCAATCTCACCATCGATAATCCCATCTATTTGGGCTGTCCACCTACTCAGGATTGGTGTCCTCAACTGCCAGCGCTTACATTGACACAGTTCATTATTGGATTCGCACTGACGTCAGTGGGTTATCCCATTGGCGTTACTCTGATACAGACAATATTCTCCAAAGTGCTTGGACCACGTCCGCAAGGCGTCTGGATGGGCATGATGACCGGCGCGGGCTGCCTGTCCCGTGTCATGGGTCCCGTATTCGTTGGCTCGATTTACACACGCCTCGGCACCTATTGGACATTCGGTTTTACATCGATTATGATGTTGATTTCTATGATCTGGCTGCTGTGCAGCAAGTAAGTACCTGACTAACTGGATCCGTATTACATTCTAATCCTGACTCTCTTTTCAGTCGCGTACTTATCCCACCAACATTCGAGAAACCGGCTGTGCCCCTGCAGGAACTGCATACACCGCAGAAAGACGTCACGAATGATCCCGATGACGCAAACGCGCCCATCCATGAAGAATCTGATGAGCTGCTGGCAACTTCCAAGGTGATACGCATGGTACCCTCATCCAAGGCGTAGTCTCATCGTCGACTTAAATATTTTTCTAATATGACTGCCCCTAAGTTACACAACATTCACTATGAATTTCTAGGCAATAGTTTCACACATACAAAATATATTTTTGATAGTAACTTTATGATGCACTTTTAATGTTAAGTCTTCACATGGTGAAAATCAAATATTGATATCAAACATACATGGTTATATTTTTGTTTCTTTTTTCACAATCGCACAAACATATATTGGTGCTAAAGTTGTTTATTGGTTTATTCTAATAACACAAATCCAATAGTTTGTAGTTATTTACGCTTAAGAATGAACTTCTTTGATGAAATAATGAAACATATATAATGCTGGTAATATTTGTTACCTGCCACATTATTGTTGTCGTCATTATCAGTCAGTGCATAATTATGATAGGTATGACAGGGATGCCTAGATGGACTATGATGAAGATTATTTCTTGTTTTTTGCGTTTGTTATTGCTCTGTTTAATTACGCGTACGGGACTACCAAGGCGGTGGTATCCACATATGTAAGAACGGCAACTGCTGCAGTTGAGGATAATGATGCGTCGGCGACCAGCAGAGTAGCCAACATGATGCACCGTTAAAAGCGTTATAGTTGTATATGGGTATTAATGGTGGCGCAGTTGTTGCAAATGCACCGCCCAAAGCAGCTGCTGCTGTCACTCAGCTGCTGCCGTTATAATAAAACTCATCTCAGTAGGGCGCATAGCGGCGACCTGGCGGTGATGGACCGCGCATGCCGCGCGACGAAATCATACGCTCGTCGAAAGAGTCACGACTGAAGTCCTCATAGCCATGCGGCGTTGGTGACCTGTTTGATAATTAAGAAACAAAATGTTAATCATAAAGTAGTCTGGTGTAAACTAAGCATCTACTCACCCATAACGACTCATGCCGTTGCTGCTGCGTGGCGGCGGTGGTGAACGCCGACTGAACATGGTGTCATAGCCACGGGAGACACTGCAGGAACGCAGACTGCCGCTCAACGGGGGGGGCAGAGGCATTGGTTCACGACGAGAAATCGGCGGCGGTGGGAAGTCACGCATGCGTGATGACTGATAGCGACGCTCATACAGATCGCGTGAATCCTCGAAACGGCGGTCATAGTAATCGTAATCCTATAGTTGTGAAAGCCAAGACAGTTAGTGTGTTTAGGGTAAAACCATTTGGGTATATTGAAGTTTATATGTTGATGCATTTAAGATATTCGCGGCGAGTCGGTTTGAAGATTAACTGCTGAAAACCTCGAACAATCAGATTGCTGGAAACAATTGAGATATGAAATCAAGCAATTGATTATTTCTGAAATATTTTCTAGAAATCATAGTTGACTTTTTGGGGTTTTGAGCAGTAGAATCTTTTAAGCGACCTGTCGGGAGTAGCCAAATTGGTTGTTTGTCTGCATTTACCCTAAAGCCGTCCATTATGCGATCACGCAGGAATGGCGGCGGCGGCGGTGGCGGAGGATACGGATCACGACTGTACATGCGATCTCTGTAGCCGCCGGCGCTCAGCGGTGGTGGTGGCTCACGTCCACCAGTGCCTGTCCAACGCGGACATTCTTTCGACCAATGACCGGAACGGCCGCAACGATAACACTGCTCCGGATCGCCCATGCCCGGCTTGGGGCGTACCCGGCTAGTGGATACCTGCACCTTGAGCGGCTGGCCATCGACAACGCGACCGTTCAACTCCTTGATAGCATCCTGGACATCACCGACACAATCCAAATGCACGAACCCATAGTTGCGCACAATGTCGCATTCGACGACGGTGCCGTATTTCTGAAATAGTTCGCGCACCTCCGGCGCACGCGTTTTGTCGGTTAGATTTCCAACGAAGATTTTCGTTGTCGGCGTATTGGGGGCGCGTCGGCTTTTGGCGGCCTCCACCTTGATGGCGTTATCGTTCAGCACGTAACCGTTCAAGTTCTGTATGGCATCGCGACCCTGCTGTTCGGTTTCCATGTGCACAAAGCCATAATTCTTGACCACATCGCATTCGACTACAGTACCGTATTTCTCGAAAAGTGCACGCAATTCGGTTGCCTGCGTCTTCTCATCGAGATTACCGATGAACAACTTGAACGTGCCGGCTCCGGGCATCACGGCGACGGTTTCGGCTGCGGCGTCGTCCACGGTTCTTGCGTTTATTCAATTTCTTGGGAAGCTTGAGCGTTAGCGTACGCGATTTGTATTCTTTTTGTTTTTTTACGCGTTATTGACGTAGGTGCAGCGCAGCTTGAGAACGACGACAACGGCGGCGGCGACCGCGACCTCAAAGTGAAAGAAGAAGAAGCAATGCAATTTTTCATTTTGATTTGTACTGAGGCAGGGTGCAAGCAATTCGATACAAATTAAGGAACAAAGAAAGGTCACAACGCGTCCATTAAACTTAGAATCAGACACATGCACAACCCGTGAAAAATCATTATAATTTCCACACAATATACATAACAAGATGGCGGCGACAGCGACGGCGGCAAGGCGAACCCGTGGTAGTAATATGTGGCAGTGGCAAAACGACGGCTTCAATTGTAAATATGTTTACATTTATAAAGACTTCTTACCTGTGCACTTTTAAAACCAAATAAAATGTTGCTTGAATCTACTTTTTATTTTTTCCTTTTAGCAGCTCACACAAAACTCACTTTTTCACAACTTTTCGGCACAATGACTTTTATGTATATGTGCTAGAGGTGACAAAAAAATCGATGATAGAGCACTATCACTGCCACTATCGATAAGATAAAAATACAAGCCGGAGTGCCGATAGACTATCGACACAGTCGTGCGTGCGTGCTTATTTCGATATTATTCTTATTTTCATTCTTTTATATCAAATAAAAAATTGGTTTCAGTTGCTGTTAACCATAAATTATTCGGTATTCGATGGTAGTATGTTGATCAGCTGGATTTTTATAAGCAAACATCATGTATCATCCGAAATGCAAAAATAAAATCAAAATAATCGATATAACCTATTTTAGGGCTCCACCATTTCTGTTAGTATGCAACACTGGCAATGTAAATTAGCGCTCTTATTAAAAAAGCGGGAAAGATAGTTGTTATTAAACTGGCGTAAAAATGGAAACTCCTTCGGGACGTGGTGCACGGCCCACACGCACCGCTACACCGCGCCTCTCTGAGCGCAAGAAGCAATTGTTTCGCAGCCGCAGCTCCATGTTGGACCAAATAGATGACGACTGTGACGTCGAGGACCCTTTGTTGGGTATAGCACCCCTAAAGCCAAGGCGCCAAAGTCTGTCCATTACAGCAGCCGAGAAGCCATCTAATGTTCGTAATCTGTTCGACAATATTGCTGGTGGAGATGTCCGCAGCTTGCGATTGCGCACCAGCACCAGCAGCTCACCGGAGACTAATAAGGAAAATAAAAGCGCTCAGAAGACACGTGGCTCTGGCCTATCATTGGGCACGGAGGAGCAGTTGCCACATTTGTTTACCAAAACCATGCGTATAAATAGCAATAGCAGTACCAGCCAAAGCCACAACTCTAGTCCACGCACGCCGAAATCACGAGAACACTTCGACGATACGAGCACGGACATGGATGACTCGCCCACTGATCAAGACCGCAGAGCAGCTAAAAGAGTGCACAAGATGTCGGATATAATAATAATCGATTCCTCACCTGAATCCGGATCAACGCCACCGCAGAGCAAGGTGCGCAAGACGCACAAAGAGTGCATATCGACAATGTCCTTTTATTCACATTCTGCCAATCCTAATGTTGCTTTGCGAAGATCAGGTCCAAACCCTTCGGGATTAGCACTTCAGCAGCAACATCGCGTCGGAAAGGCAAAAGTTACTTCGCCCAGCTCCCGTCCTAGGTTGGGTATTAATAAGGGCGTTCGCCACAACATACGCAAGCCCCAGCGCACTTCTGCGTCCCTCAATTTGGATGACATTTTAGGCTCTTTGCGAAATGAAAAGTTACGCCGGCTGATTACCACGGGGCGTGAGGATCGCGCAAAGGTAGAGGAGGTCCACCAAATACTTCGCAGTGCCAAAGATCCCATCAAGATGGCCAAGCCCCTTCGCGGATTGGCTCTTGATGACGCCAACAACAACAACAACAAGGCTCCCTCAGCACTATCTCTATCTCCCACAACACTCGACTTTTCAGATTTAAGCGACGAAGAAGAAGTCCGTCCTACAAAAGACCTACCCTCTAATATGGAGCTGGAACCGGTCATACCATTGATACGACATACTGATGAAACATCCCCAAAGACCGACCCGCCCACTAATCGGAAGTTCTTTAAATCCGGCCGACGTAGCAGCACCTGTATGGAAGTGCGCATCACGGACAATATACGGGCTAGTGTTAGTCAGGGAAAGATCTCATTAGTAGAGGAACCACCAAAAAAGCACCGGCAAGTGCGTGTCAAATCGTCGACAATATTTTCCGCGGAGCAGGCAACCGTGGATGCGATACTACGTAATCTAGATGATACCATTGTGGATGAAATTGTTGAATCGGAAGCGCCTAAGAAAGAGGAGCATGCATTGCTGCCGGATCCCTATGAAAAGTACCGCCAACAAATACCATACCAGACTGACGATCCGGCAATTATCGAACAGCAGGCCCTGTTGCTTGAGTTTCTAATAAGCAATAACATATGCACAGATAGAAACTTTGAAATATTTATAGCAGATCCAGATAACCACAAGGAAGAAGCCACCAGCATTGTAGATAATCTGTACATGGTAGTCTATGCGGGGCAGCAAGCACTGGCAAAATCTGACGGCGACAAAGCAATTGCACCGGAAGTACCTGAGAGCGACAACGCTCAAGCGCTTAAGGAACCAGTTGACAGCTCGGCGACTAATGCAGCGTCCATTGAGTCGCAAGTCAAATTGTTTCCCATTTTCACACAACGCCTGCAGCCGGTGCAGCAAAAGTCTTCGCGCCGCAAGTTGGATGTTTCGGCACGCTTAATGGCTGCTGCCACTGGCTCCAATCAGTATCAAATCGATGCTGGCCAAAAGGCCTTTGGAGCCCGGCAGTGTCAGCAGTGTGGATTAGTTTACACCGTCCATGAGCCCGAGGAGGAGCAGCTTCATCGAGAATATCATGATTCTGTACATGTGCTACGTTTTAAGGGCTGGATAGACGAGGATATTGTGGCTGTGTGTCCGGACTGGGCGGCAGATGGGCGGATTATACGATTGAATGAACACGCACCATCTATACGCCTGCAGCGGCTAACAGAGGTGATCAGGGTGGTGGACAAGGAACTGGGCTACTCCTCGTACATTGTACCAAAAACGTTTGTCGCCTACTTTGCTGTCCGAAAGCAGCAAATTGTGGGCCTATGCCTTGTGCAGCCGTTGACGCAGGCGCATCGTTTCATCCATGTCGATGGAACCGACTACTTCAGCGAGGAGACATTCGAGGCTAGGTTTGTGGTCAATGCAACTCCTTTCTCCGTTCCTTACCAATAACTTTATTTTGTTTCCTCTGCAGCTGCGGCGTGTCTCGGATTTGGGTCTCACCACTGCAACGTCGTAGGGGAATTGCTAGTAAATTACTGCGCGCTGTGCAATCTCACACCATGTTGGGCATTGAAATATCCCGGGATCGCATTGCCTTTAGTACGCCGACAGACGAAGGACGTGCTCTGGCGCGTCAATTTACGCAAAATGAGAATTTTCTGACCTATGACAAATAGGAAATCTAGGAAGTTGGCTATTGAATAGCTGACCAGTGAACTTTTGTTAAATACCCTTTGCTACAAATCCTTATTTTTTTAGTTATTAAGCATAAAAGATTGTTTTAAACTGAGATTGTGTTACATTTAAAGATATGCTCGATTACAGAATGGTGTTTCTAATCTATTGTAAATACGTTTTACGAAAGCAATAATGGATACTTTTATTTGAATTTTATTTTGAGAAATCGTGAGAAATGCACTATAGTAGTGTAATTTTTGATTTTTAGCAAGTTTAAATTTCAATTCGTAAAATATTTAAGAGCTGAAAATGTATTCACGATCAATCGCGATATCTATCGATAGTTAATAGATTTCAATATCGATCACAGACAGCCATGTAATTTGTCAATCGATAGTTTAGCTTACTTGTGAGCCAGGCTTTGGGCGTTGTTTTTATTGCAGCAGTTAAGAAATTTATTAATTCTTAATTAGAAACGTATTTGCATTGCTCAAAAGTTGACTTAAAGTGTGTCAAGTCACAATTTCAGTTGCCATAAATTGAGCGCAAATGGTGAGTGCAAGAAAATAAATAAATTGTAACTAGCAAAGCAACGCGGCATCTTATGCCACGCCCAATGTGATTGAATTAAAGTAAAACCACAAGCACACTTTGGGGTTGAATGTAGCGTAGCAACGTTTCTTATTGCTTACATCCATTGCAGACAATACAGCGTTGTGTTAGTGTGCAGCAAGTAAAGTGTGTAGCTAATAGAGAAAAAGGCCAGTGACTGCATTGTCAACGGCATCTACAATTACAGCCATAAGTAAATAATGTCCACAATCGAAGACGAGCGCAAAGCGTACATTAATAATCCATATTTCACTGGACCCATCTACGGCAGCTACAAGCCGTTTTATGTGACAATTGCTATTTGCACTGTTGTCCTTGGGTCAATAATTGTATTAAACATTATCTTGGGCTGCTGCTCCAAACACCGCAAGTACTGGCAGGACAGGCACACAGGCAATCGCTGGTTGGTTTCCATTTGGTCTTCAACGCCGCACAAGCAACCACCTCTAGATTTCACTGAGCTAAAGGACGCATCCTACTTCGATCGTTTCCATGTAAGTGGCCAACTCGGCATGCTTAACTTTCACAAAATGACACTTACCATTTGCAGCCCACTACACACCAGCAAGTGTTCCCTGACGACGTCGTCATATCCGTTGACGATTTAGAGCCCGTACACCAGTCGCATCATCAGCGTCCACCCCGTCCAGAAGGTCGTACACTGCATCAACAACGCCAGCGTGAAGAATACGTTGAGTTGCAAAAGCGTGAAAGCGACATCTAAGCCATGGCATTATACATTCTATATCCAGCCGTTGCTGCTCTGGCGCTCTTTGTTGTAGGCGTCATCATTATCATGCTGCGCTATGGGCCACGTCTATGCGGGCTACGCCATCATGCTCTGCCCGACAACCATGACTTGCGGGAGAAAACCTACGAGCATGAGATTAGTTATGCCTGAAACGTTGCGCCATTTTCATAATTGTCTTTTAATACATTAATGCAGCACATTACTTTTTTATATACGTCCACTTCAACTAACCATAGTTTTAAGTTGCTATTTTGACCATTACTAACTCTTAACTGCTGGAGTTGCACATTTTTTTATACATGCAGTACAAAGTGCCTACTACATTTAGTAAATAATATTTGTCAATCAGCTTTTATATTATTCCATATCAAAAAACAAAAGTAATGTGCCTTCAACATTGAATCTCATTGATAAATGTTTGCCGTCCAAGTGTCTTTTAGAACAGTAAGATCGCTCCGTTACAAACTTATACCCTTTTCGTAATTTATGTAAACAGAATGTTAATTAAATTTTTATATGTTCATTTACAAATGAAAATTATTTAAAACTATGCAAACTCTATACATTTGTATTTAAGCATTTATACGATTTGGACCCAGAAAAATATTTTCAATAAAGAATGATCAATTTTAATTCATACAAAATATGTGTTTGCTGCAAGTTAAATTGGAAAGCTTTCACCAAAGTTCGCATACAAAAGTTTCCAATTATGAACATACAGATGGTAATAAGCATTTAAATGCATGTGCTTTGAGCGTTTAATAACAATTACGATGGAAAATGTCAGGAAAAGCATTATATATGCGTCTACTTGTAAGAGGTTAATAATCTCATTTTGTGTTCAGCAATGCATATGGAAGATAGTACTTCGTATTTCTTTTCGATAGTTAGTAAATTGGATGTACCTGGTCCAGCACAAAAGTCATACGCTGTCATTGATGTAAATTTGATAGTTTTCAATAAATTGCGTATGTATTCGTCCCTTTTCTCCTGCTCCTTCTCACTGTTCATCTCTTGTTCGCTTTGCTCTGTAGCCACTTGGTCTACAGCTACGTCTTTTTCCTTTTCTACATCGTTTTCATTTTCGTCTTTAGGCTCTTTTGCTTGCTCTATTTCTACTTCTTTATGTATATCTTTTTGCGGCCTGGCTTCTGTCACAGGCTTTATTTTTTTCGTCATCTGGGAATAATCAGAAACTTCATCGTCGTTATCACTTTCGATGAATGTATTGTCTGGGGATGGTTTTGCAGAACTCTCGACCAAACCATGTATATTGCAATAACGATCTATTACGCTGAAGCGAAGCTTATCGCCCACAATGCCGTCAAAGTCCTCGATAAATTTTAAAAAGATTTCCGAGCTAAGATCAAAGACTGCAGCCGCGTTGATGTAAGCCTCCGCGTTCACGCGAAATTTCTACAAAATTACAAAATTTGATTGGGTTTGATATTATTTATCTTAGTACCTACCAATCTAATGTTGGCGATCAGCTCTTCGTCCTCGATCTGGTGGCCATACTCGTACAAATCAATTGTTACATCCGCCTCTAGGCCACTGGCCAAACGGCGCTTGATCACATTTAAACAGTTGTTGGTAAAAAAGGATACCATGAACTTTTTGCTCAGATAAATCAATGTTTGTAGTGTCTGCAGATCATATGAATCCAGTCGACGGTTATCGTGCCAGTACAAGTATTCAATGAATTTTCTAAAATCATTGCCCGACACATCGTTCAGCACAATGTTGTCGGGAATCTTTGCCTCCTCGAAATCGCCCTCAAACATGCGTTCAAAAACAGGTGAAACACTACAAAATATATATGTATGTATATCTGATATGGTTTAATATATAGCAAAATAATTTTGTACACACCTCATGAGCACAAATTTATGACATTTTAATAGAATCTTATTGCCATCATTGTCAAAGACGACGAAACTGCAATCCGACAAGTGGCCGGTCATCAGCAAATGTTCCATGCGTTCTCGGGGTCTAGAAAGATAACAAATGCGCTGTTTATTTATATGAAGAGATTTCAGGTCGGGCATATCTATCACCCAGATTCTTTTAGACAATGTCTATAACGCCATTAAAACAGTTAGGAGGAGTATATCACTTAATAGGGTTATAATGCTGATCTCTAAGTACTCGCCTATAAAAGCACCGCATTTTGCAGTTGCAATCAATTGTACTTATTGTTTACCCCAATACGATAGTAAGGTAAATGGTTGAAACTCCCCAAATATAAAAGTCATTTTCTGATTACTCACCTGAGATCCTGCCAGTTTGTCGCCGTGTTCTGCATTTCAGTAATCAAGTTAAAAAAAAACAAACACTGTTGGCACGGACAAAAGTGGCGGCGTCAATGCAAATTCATGTATTTAGTGTTGCAAAACGTCTAACCAAGAACTGCGAATTTGACAGGATACGGTCACTTTGTTTTGTCAGCTGTCCGCTGTTTTCTGTTGCCGTCGTTGAATTCAATATTAAATTAAGCGACCACCTGCTTTTAAAACAATGATTTTATTTGTTTACATTTGGATTGGTATCGGCCTACTGCCATTAACCCAATCAGAAATCACTGAGTGCCCCACGTACAGCGTACCACAGGTGCGAGCAGAAGTGGAGGGATCCGGCGAGATGTCTTTGATGTTTTACTACGTGTCTTGGTCGAGCGATGCCAGACAGGCACGTTTGGTATACGATGGCGTGGCCCATTACTACAAGGAATACGCCTCCTTTGGCGCTATCGACTGTTGGCATCTGCAGTGCAACTGCAGCCGTACACATCGACAACTACCTGGCATGGCGGTTAACGGCGGGTATCCGGACAAATGGCCCACGCTAATGGTTAACTATGGGCGGCAAGTGAGGCTGCAGTATCAAGGCGCATGGCATTTTGAGGACTTGACGAGATTCATGAACAATCTTATACAGCCCATCGATCGAGTGCATAGTACGGCAGAGCTGGGCGCCCTATGGAGTATCTCGGATGCCGTTGTCCTGGCGGTGCTGGACTCTGCCGATGGCCCGACATATAGACGTTTCGTGGCGACGGCAATACATTGGTTGGAATTCGATCCGGAGCGTAACGTACGCTTTGCGGTCGCTTTTGGCCGCCAAGCTAAGAAAATGCTCAGGGTGGAGGGGTTATCACTGCCGCAACTCGTAGTCATAGATAACCGGCATGGCCTGCATAATTACAATAAATCGGATGTCTGGCAGCCCATGGAGATCTTGCATTGGGTGCGACCCAAAGTCAATCCTCTGCAGGCCGCTGGCTACGGAACACCCGCGAAGATTGCGATTAAGGCGCGTCACACGCCAGTGCTGGCCATGGCCATACGCATGCATCGCCAACAGTCATTATTCACGAGCGATGATCTGTTGCGTAAGGAGAATGTTGACTGCGAGCTGTACTGGAAGCAAGAGCTGCAAGACGGCAGCGAGTCGCGTAAATGGGCTCTGTTGCAAATGCCGCCAGAGCTGTATGAAGTCCCTAAGGCGCAGGAACAGATGGCCAAGAATTGCTATCGCGCATTTCAGCTCAACAGAGCCACCCTGGCCAATTACTACCACATCAATGGCTTCCTAAATTATTTATGGTCCCAACACACTCACGAACGCCACTCGGAAGCGGAGGCGCGCCGGCTGTTGGCGCTTCGCACACGTAATCGCTGCTTGGCGCACACCCATGCCCAGCAGGGAACGCCGGCAGGAAAGATTGGCATTGCGAAGCTGGTCGCTAAATACGGTCAGCTGATGTGGATGCACTCGGCGGAGCAGAAAATACAGAATAGTTCATTGGCCGTAGTGCTCTTCGATGGAAACAAACATCGCGACTTTCTGCACCAACTTGGCATTGATCAGTTCCAACTCAATCATAAAAGAGATGCGTCCACAGTGCAGGTATTCATTGTGGATGCAGCCGAAGAAGCACTACATGTCATGCCGCAGCATCAGACGTTCTCCTATCTGGCACTGAAGGAGTTCATGAAGCAATTTTATGCCAGACAGCTGCCGCGCGTGCAAAGGAATTCTTTATTAAGCACTGCCCCATCCCAGGAAGCATCGTATATACAGGTATACAATCGCCAGTTATTGCTGCAGGCACTGCAGCACTCCAATGCTACGAATGTCGTGCTTATCCAGCGACCGGATTGTGCACTCTCGGCCGTCATGTCACAGGAGCTGATGCAAGTGGCAGCTATGCTGCGCAGTCCCGAACTTAAATTCATTCGCTTCGATAGCCAGGCAAACGATTTGCCCTGGGAACTCACTATGCCGGCGTCACCAGCGCTGCTAGTGTTTCCACAATCTCGACCCACAGAATCTGTGGTGTTTCCGATTGATATTCGTGTGGACACGGCCAACATAATGTCCTTCATATTGGCACAGTTGGAGCCAGAGCAGCAGTTGCGCTTAGTTTTGGCCAGCTGCCGGCGGCGCATAAGGCATGCGCGCAGCTGCCTGGACTTTGCCGGGAAACTGGTGCTCCAGCACATCAGCCAATATTTGAAATACTGGGAGATATATGTGAAGGAGCGTGATCAGATCTTGTCACATCTAAAGCAGTTCAATGAGATGCACATTGCCATCGAAAGTAGTATAAAGTTATAGTTTATAAATGCATCTCAATTGACCGTTAAACTAGTTATCTTAAAAGTATTGGGTAAGATTTTAGCGGGAGGGAGCTCACTTATCTGATATTGTAAGCCCAAAATAAGTTTAACTAAATATTGTTATCAATAAGTCTAGTATAAGCAATTAGTAAATCATCAAAAAGATTTAAGACTGATTCATGTTTTTGTTCCACAATCCAAATGCAGTATTTTTCGAAACGAGTAAACATATTTCAAATGCATATACATTATGTGTGCCCAGCTGCCTTTAGATCAAAAATACTTTTACTGCAACTATCGATACTGTGTTGAGTGTGGCTGTAGTAAGTGCAGCAAGTAGTTGCTTAAAATGTCACGACATTCGGATAAACTTAATATTATAGATCAAGGTACATATCAAATTCTAAAAAAGGATAATGGGAACTCAACGCCAAAGGTACTACGCAGTGCCAAGTACAAAAATAAGCACAAAAGGGAGCAGCAGTGTACTCTCTTGGACTTCCTCGTTGTGCCCCGCCAAAAACAGAAACAAATAAACAAACGGAGACGCCCGCAGCTGGTAGCAAGAAAGTGCGTGGCGCTTCAAACCAAGCGCAAGGGAAAGACGCGATTGCATCCTAAACGCCGTATAGCGCGCCTGAAGCGCATTATCAGAAAGTATCGCAATTGGAAGCAACATAAGGACGAGGACAACAACTATGTGGAACCGCTGCAGCAGGCACTGGACCCAATGTCTGTCAGTCATGAATCCGCAAGCGAAAATATGCTGCAGGCTCCGCTGTCCGAAAAGCTCCAGAAGTTGACCTTAGGCGAGACGGAGAAGCGGTGTACTTTGGAAGTGGAAAGCAGTCTTTCCGCTTCAGTTCAACTAAAGGAAATTCAGCGCCTGACCTTGAACAACGTGGAACCAAACACATTAGGAGTAATCACAAATTTGAGGTGCTTGTCCCTAAATGACGCCGTATCAGGCCAACCAGCATCGTCTACTAATCAAATACATTCCCGGCGATTTAGAAGGTGCGCATCTATAAAGTTATCTTGCTCCCTATGCTTATCAAATATCTGATACACAGCTATTGTGATAATTGTACGACGCCGCGCCTCAAAGATTTGACGACTCAATTGCTCAATGACTTGGATCGGTTCCAGAAGCGTGCCTACGCCCACAATGAAATTAAAGCCCGTGCACATCCGCGACTAGTGGTGGGTTTTCGGGAGTCATTGTCCAGGCTGCGCATAAACAAAGTGAAACTGCTAATCTTGGCCCCTGACTGTGAAATTTGTCCTGCCCCAGGTAAACGTCATTTACTGCACTATAAATACTGTTTCTCATTTAACGTTTAATCCTTGTTAGGCGGTCTGGACGACACGATCGACGAGCTGAAGCTAGTCTGTCAGCAGCAAAGGGTGCCCTATTGCTTCTCGCTGATGCGCCGGGAATTGGCCTATGCGCTTCGCAAGCGTGCACAAATCTCGTGTGTGGCCGTTTTGGACTATGATGGTGCCAATGAAACGTATAAGCAACTGCTGCAGGAGCTGGATGTGGCGAGCTATCAGTATAAATGTTTGACTGCAACGTGATCTTTAATGCTTCAAGGATTTAAATATTCAAGTGCCAAAAAGGGTGCCTACAAATATTTAAATAAACAAATTCAAGCCAAATCTATGCATTGACAAGATTCAATAATTAGAGGGCGTCATCATTGTGGTGGTCACCAGATCGTAAAGTGTCGAGCTCTCATTCCCAAATTCGGTGGCAGCGCCCACTAATCCAGCCGTGTCATTGAAGCTATTAAAGGATTGTATGGCGTCCTTGGCCTGCTGTGCCGCCAAGTTAAATTGTATGAGTATAATAAGATAGCTGGTAATGCCACCGCTGACACCATACAACGTTTCCATGTCCAGCGTGAAGAAGCCGCAGGCTGAGAAGTCCACCGAATGATTAAGCAACTTCAGCGACAAGTGATTCACAATCTCGTAGAGTAAATTGTCATCAGCCACGACGCCGCACTTATGTAAACTTATGCCAGTACGCTTGGAGGCCAAGGAGGTTTTCCAGCTTAAATAAATCAGATATATGCACTTGCCAGATGTGTAGACCAGGACGATAACCGTGATAAAGGGATTCTTTGCAGAGCGAAACAACGAGGGTATCGATTGCGCCCTCGTGGCACAGTATAGAAAATACAGCTGAGCCGTAAATATTAAGAAACCATACGCCATAAGCGAAAGAATAGGATAGCTCCATAGCCCATTCATTGCCTTGCCTATCTCGCAGATCTCGTCGTGCACTTGGCACAGATTGTTCAGCTTCTCCTCGACTTTGGTCGCATTGCTTAATTCGCTTTCGTGCGCCATGTTCATCATTGGGTTTGGATTGGGCTGCTGCGGCTTGCGAGGCGTTTGAATCGATTCGCCAAAAGAGTTTAGCGAGTGGGCGACTAATTACAGCAAATACGATTATTGGGAATAGGATAAACTTAAAGACTACTTACTTGGCGCGACCTTGTTTTTCTTGCTACCAGAGCCTCTCATCGATCCTATATCAATACCACCGAGCTCCTTGTACAAATACTCCAGATTACTGTCGTATTGTGGCGGCTGCGTTTCAAAACTGTCTGCCGTATGAAGCTCAGCGGCATCATTATCTGCAGTTAACCAAGTCTGAAACTTTTCGTGCTCGGTCACAAGATCTTCCAAAGTGGCATTTATGGCCTCAAAGCGTTCTTTGAGCGCATATAGCGAAACTGCAAACCAAATCTTATCCAGAGTATTGATGAAAGTAGGAATTGCCGAGACCATCCATAGAAGTGACAACCACTGCGTATAATCCACCAGCTCAATGTATGTGGTAAGCAAAATGAAAAGCTCGAAAATAATCGTCATAACTAGCATTATACGAATGCGTTTTGCTATACAGCTGTTGTCGAGCTGGCACTGCTCCCGGTACAGCCGTTCATCCACTACGCGAATGCGCTCGTAGAGCTCTCCTAGTCTACCTTGGTTAAAGAGCGCTGTGACCTGATCCGTGGCCATCATAATAAGGCCAATGTAGGTCAAAAACAGGCCAATAACAAATGTCAAGGTACCTGAAGCAAAAGAAGGGTACATTAGCAACAGAAAGTCAACAGTAGTTGAATAGTTAAATATCCAAGTAGAGCACAAACTCCTGCCCCTATAATACTCACTCTGTGTTGCCTTGAGTGTGCGATCCTCTTCGCTAAAAGAATAAATCAACAAATTATAGAGCACCACATACAGGGCCAACATGCCGAGCATATAGATCATGCCATTGCGCGACTTTTCCAGCACATTTTTGTGACGAAACTTGGTCAGGTCCTGCGGCAAAACACCCACCACCTTTGATAGGAAAAACAGTTGCTGGAATTGCAGCAACAATGGCTGCACCATTGGTGTCACCTGGGACATCCTGCACGTTGGCCAGAACAAACTCGAATGGTATATACAAGGCCAGCCAGGCATTTGGAGCTGGTTGCCACTCTAACTAATTAAATTGGTTTGTTTGCTTATTAAATTGGTTCCCTAATCGATACAATCAACGCAAGCAATCTGAATACACGTGTAAATGGTTGTATAAACCTTTCGCTTAATGGCTGAGCTTATATGAAGGGAGAATATAAGTTTATTAAATCATCTTCAATTGTGTATGTATATATCTGTACACAATAAATTTTAAAATGCAAACCCGAAATAAATATTACATATATGCACATCAAATGTACCTTTCCGAGGTATGAGCTATATATAATTATACACAATAGTGTATGGCAATACGAGTTATTTGTGTAGTCGATTGAATGAATTGAATTTTATTAGATGGTATTTAGGTCGGGATTTGCATGGTTTTCATGTGTACCAAATGTTGTAATTTTTGTACATTCCTTGTTTTACGTGTGAGATATAATATAAAGCCAAAATATTAACACGGCTTATCTTTTGAAATTTAAAATAGTGCCCAACATAATTAATTTGTATTGTAAGAGAAGATCGTGCTCCTTATTGCTTACGCTTGCGACGATCATTTTGTTTTTGCTCCTCCTGAAATTGAAACGAAATATTACAAAATGTTAATGGCTGTCTCCAAGGTTATAAATATAGTTTCACAAATAGCGAACTTAATGTGAGCATATCGTTTTAAATAAATTTTTCGTAAACCTGGAAATGAATATACTTCCAACAAAAAATAAGAAGAGAAAGGCCCGTCTCGAAAGAGTAAAGCTTTGTAATGAATATTGTCTAATTGAAGACTTTTGTGAAAGTATACTTATTGCCTTGTATGTACGAAAAATAGGTATACGTTTAAAACGGCATACCGTTACGATTAAATGTTCATTAAAGATATTGATTGCTATTAGTGGTCAGTTCAAGGTTATTCATTGTTTGATTGGCTGTTTAACTGATTTGCGAACTATCATACCATAAAGCTCTTGAGCTGTAAGATAGGGCACAATATTGAGCACAAATCAAGAATACTAGCGCAGCCTTAACTGATGACAACTAAATTGAGTTTTATGAACACACCTTTTGGGTCAAAATAATCAACAAACGGCGGAACATGCTCAAAACATCAAAGAAAAGGTCCAATGCATGTTGGACCACATCGCGGTTGCCCATGCGACACTTATCCACAATATTTTGGGTGTCGTACACAATGAAGGCGGCCATAACAAAGACGCCAACGTACAATTGAGTCTAAAAGCAGAAAGGGTTAGCTATAGAATAATAATTATACTTGTGGTTACTTACAATTTGGACAAAGTACGATTTAAAGATCATGTTGAAGAGACTAAGCAAAGCCATGCAGTTAATGACGCTAACCAACATGCCGCCCAGATACAAATACTTGCCCTGTTCGGCAAGCAAAGCGGCTAACGACAATGAACCAAAGGTGACAAAGGTCCCGGTGAGCGCAGTTAGTATAATTGCCGGATTGATGCTGCATATGTAGTCCAATAGGGGGCCCAGTGTTTGTCCCGAACAAAAGCCAAAGGCATATAGCATTCCCAAGCGTGTGTAGTAGTTCTTGCCATCGTCTTTATAAAAGTGCAGACCCAGGACCAGCACCAGTGAAGCAATAGCCGCTATTATACCCAAATCAAAAGTTCCGCGCATCTGAAGTAAGGCTCCTACTGCCGAAGCTGCGGTGGTGCTCGCCAGCACCATATACACCTTGGAGAGGTGCTGACGGATGAAGGGCTCACTGCAAAGGCATAAGGAAGTGGTATTAGTCAATTTTGTGCGTGTACGTGTACATTGCTTTCAAGGACTATTGATTTAGTGCGACCTGTTGATGTGGTCTAATACCAAAACAACACGTCATCCTAACCGTGACGCAAGGTTAGCGCCAATTACGCTTGCCAGGTACCTTTTTATAAGCATTGTACACGGACTTTTGTACCGGGCAATCGCATTTGGTTCGCCTGCACCCGTGACCCAAAGTTTATGTGAATACTCACTAGCGCTCGCCGATGCCGTTCATAAAACGTTGGAAACGGTCGTGAATAAATTGTGCTGTATCCGCCATTCTGTATCCTTGCTTTCCACTTGACGACTAGCTTTTATACTTTTTCTTTTTAATCGAACGGAGGAGTTATAAATGTGAACTGAAACTGTGCAGGCTTGATAATCAGAGTGACTGATTTTTACCTCGTATACTACGTTGATCTTTTCGTTTCTGTATTTCACTTGTCTTTATGTATATTGCACTTTAGTGTTGACTAACGTCACGTTGTACGAAGCTTCCAGATGATAGGGTAACCATTTCTTATGCAGAAAAACTTATGGCCACTCTTAAATAAAACAACATTGCCATGATTATCGGCGCGAATTTTTCAAAAGACCAATCAAGAATATTAAATTCTAACAATTCGATGGAAAGGATCATTAAGGTTACTTTACCGAACGAATCGCTTAATTTGTTTAGAGACAAATATATATATATACGAAAGCTTTTCTTACAGATTTTAACTAATAACGAAACCCATTTACTTAATTATGGATGTAAATTTTATTTCGGGTCATATGCTTTAGAAAGCTTGTTCTAACAGTAGATCAATCGAATAAGAATGTGCGTATATTTTTTTAAATAATAATTGAAAATATAAATTAAAATAATGACGATTTGTTTTAAATATGAGTGACATAAATATGATTTCGCAATCTTCTTATTTGTTCAAAGCAAATAAGACGCGCACTTAAAAACTATATAAATATGTATATATACATATGTAAAACATTACCTGTTTAGTGCATGATTTACAGTAAATATGTATATTCAAATACTCTCAAAATCACAGTTTCAATTTGTACAAGACAGATTTTGTTTGTTTATAAGTAGTAGCCGGCCGTTTTGGTCGTAATACTTCGTGTTAGATCAGACCTAGGAAAGTTACAGGTACTAGTAGTTGTCGAAAACTATAATTTACACAAATATCATGTGGATTAGTGTAGCAGGTTTTAAGTTAAATATCGTTTACAAATGTTTGTGTACATTGTACAAATAAAAATGTAGGTAAAAGAATAAAAATAAAAACGTCGATGTTACATAGCAACTACATTAATGCTTGATCGCGTTTAAAAATTCTACAATAAATGCTGTTAAGACCTCGATTATTTTATAATTAGAGATATTTAGTCTAATTATCATCACACAAAAACTCATACATACCACTTATTTACATAATATTGATTAATATTGTCAATCTAGCTCTATTCTACTTATCCATTTGATAAGGGCAGTCAACATTTAAAGTTTTTTGATCAATTGCAGTCTCGCGCACAATAAGCTCGCTTAAATGTACATAAATAAAGTCAACTTTAAAAAAATGTTTGAAACAAGATTTACAAAAAAAGAATATCATTGAATACAATTGCGCTTATTACGATTCATGGCCTCATTTGGCAAAAACTTTGCAACTTGCAAAAAGTTGCATGTGTTAATATAACAATATTATTAAGAATAAATGCGTTGTAGTTGTACAATTTAAATATATGTATATCAATTCGTAAACTATGTTTTTGTTTTTATGGGGTACAAGAAGACACACAACGCAAGACAGTTTAAGTATTTTTTTTTTTTGAACATTTTTTTTAGTTTTCATATATATATATGTTTTATTAAATAAACCGAAATATTAAAGTACAATAATATTGAAATTCTGCGGTGTAGACGACGCTGATGTTGATTGAAGTTCATTCTATCTGTAGCTGCTGTCCAACCGCGTCTTCTTCCGCGATGACGGCCTCAATGGGGGATGTGTGCAGATGCAGTATTATTCCGTTAGAGTGTAGATTTGTGTGGGCGTGGCAGTCCGTCGTTCAATTGTGTATTGTTGTTGTAGAGGCTTGTCAACATTTCGGCTTACTTTAGTACGTCTAGGAGAAACTATGTTATGCCATATTCATATCCTACGTATTGGTAATGTTAGATACAAATCAAAATTTCATAATCTTGTGGCTGGCCTTCAGCTTGCTGCATCATTATTATGTGTTAATAAGAGTGTCTAGGAGGTGTATGTGTTTGGGTGTGTATTTCTTGTTATTAATTATGCTTTCGCTTGTATAGCGGTCAATGCCTGGACCGATGCTCTTCACGCCTGTCCCGATCACGTTCACGTTCTCGCTCACGGTCACGATCTCGGTCACGACGTTCACGATCCGAAGAGCGATAACGTTCGCGTTCCTCGTAATAGCGTTTAGATGACGGCGCCTCGGCGGCTTCTGCAACAACCGGTTCAGGAGACTTACGTGGACGCGCGGAGCGGCTGCTGCTACATCACAGAGTGAAAGAAGATTCTTATTAGTAAGGGTTGGCTATTTAGTTTGGAATTTGTGACTACCTGTCATCCCTGTAGTGGTCCTGTGCCTGACGTTCGCGTTCACGACTGCGCGAACGCTCCCGATAGCTGCTTGGAGTACATTAAAAATATGGATTAATCAAGATTATTCCATACTAACTACTAAATTCTTACCCTCCATCACGCTCACGCTCGCGATCACGATCACGCTCTCTCTCACGAGAACGCTCTCGATAGCGTGAAGTTGATCGCTCGCGACGTTGCCTGCTGCGATGGGAGCGATCTCGTGAACGCGAACGCTCGCGACGATTGTAGCTCTTGGCCTCGATGCCGTGCAGCGTGTCCTGCAGTGAGCTGATCAAAATCTTACAGCGCTCATCGTGGGCCACTTTGGATTGCTTGATAAGGGAAATAGCCGTAACCAGCGTCTCGATGGCGCTTGAATACTCGCCAGCTGCAGCATCCGAAACAGCTCTGTGGTAGTGAAAATTATACAATTAATAAATGAATCTGATTTAGGGAATGTGTAAGCTTACCTGGCTATTGCCGAGCTGCTAACCGTGCGATTTCTGCTCATGACCTCCTCGAACTCAACCTCCGTTAACTGCGGACCCATTTGGGGGTCGGGGAAAGCTCCTGGCGGCTTGCCTTGTGGGGGACCTGGCCAAGGATTGCGTGGTCCACCCTGCTGTGCAAAATGAGGCGGCGGTCCGTGCTGAGGCGGCATGTTCATGCCCGGCTGCGGTCCCGGCTGACCATGTGGTGGCCCACCCATGCCTGGATGCGGCGGTGGGCCGCCCGGTTGATTAAAGAATGCTGGATTTACGTGCGGAGCAGGAGCGCCATGTGGTCCACCCGAACCAGGCGGTGGACCAGGACCCATTTGCGGACGTGGCGGGCCCTGCATATGAGGCGGACCCTGCGGGGGACCTTGCGGCGGAAAACCGCCATGCATAGGTGGACGACGCCAGTCAGGACCCGGCCCCGGACCACGCACTGGCATGCCCATTGGACCCTGGAACTGCAAAAACAAAGCACGAAACAAAGATTTTAGTGACTGACTTAATTGGTATCGAAGGGTTAGAAAATCAACTAGGCCAGTTGCAGGTGTGTGGCAGCCTCGTCATGGATGTGCATGAGATTTGTGTCTGTGGATATGTGTGTATTGTGGCTGTTGCAGTTACAAACATGTGCAGTTATTTAAATGTTCTGAATACAATTGATGAGACATTCTAATGTCCTTCACTAAGTTAACTTAATTTGGGTTAGTTTGGTTTCATTTTTTCTACTATAGTATAATTAGATATTTTTAAAATATTTTAAGATATAGGATTTCTTTGATTTTTTTTTTGTTTTTGTTAGGAATTTGTTACCATTGGTGGTCGTTGGAGTGGTCCATTTGGTGGACCCGGTCGGGGCCCACCGGGACGTTGACCTGGCCATTGACCTTGCGCTGGCGGATACCTGGGTGGCGGTTGTTGGTTGCCCATCGGGCCGCCCTGTTGATGCATGGGCGGCTAATAATTTACGTTTTTTATTATTGTAGATGTAGTTGTTGTTGTTGTTGTGGGTAGAAGTGTGCGTAAGCGTTGTCATAAAACACATGGAATGGAATATAAATATAAAGCGTAATACATAAACATTTTTATATATAGATAGTACATAGATATTAAGTACATATAGATCGCAAACAAATGCAGCACAATTACAAAATCATAAATATTGCCTTAATATAGATACCATTAGGTTTACTCAAAGTATTTCAAAGCCTCGACAAATTGCAATTAAAGCTTTCACTAAATTACATGTAAAACAAATGGTAATGTATAGGCTTATGCATAAAGGATTGATACATATATAAAATGTCTTAAAACTCAAAAAGTTCTATAAAAATTGCTCTGAAATTATTTTATTTAAACCAAAACATGTATTTTACTTAAAATCATAAACAACAATAGCCTTACAGTCGAATCTTTGCATGTCTAGTTTCTCTTAAGTTATCACAGTTATAAACAAAATCAAATTGTTGGTCTAAAACAAAATCAAATTGTTGGTCTAAGGTATTAAAGAATATTTGTTTCACCTTGGTGTTAGTCAGGTTTCAGAAATGAACTGAGATTTTGTCGACTATAAACATGTTTATAAAAATACATTTTAATAAATATTTAATTTATATAAGTCCTGTGCTTGGACTTATATTACTTTCTTGTATCATTTAATAAGGAACATAGGGTATGATTTTAATGATTACTTTAAATTTCACTTATTTATGTTATATTTAAATTAGCAATCTTTAATGAAGTATATACGCTATCAAATATTCGACTTTTGTGATATTAAATTTTGCATTCAGAACAATTTCAATGAGTATAAGTTAAAAAATATATGTTAATGGCGTTGTTAATACCGGCTGACGAGCCAAACATTCCCAAACAAACTCAAGAACTTTATGATATGCTCACTTGCTAACGGGCAATTGCAAAACGCAGCTACGACTTAAGGGCAAAAAAAGCGAAATGGGGGAAAAACAAATATAAAATTGAGAAACTCACCTGCATGCGTGGAGGTCCAGAGTTTGGTCCAACCTGCGGCACTTGCGACATATGGGGCCGGTATTGACCCGGCGGCATGTTGGGATTCATGCGTGGCGCATGGCCAGGCGGTACACCTTGAGGCACTCCCGGATGTGGCGGCATCGGTCCGCCCATATTGGGTGGTGCGGGGCCACGTGGTGGGCCATTTTGCTGCGGTGGCGGCACCGGACGTGTTTTTTGAAGGCTCTCGAATTGCGTAAGGGCCTGCTTGCTTGGATAGGTGACTACTACGGTCTGGCCGTGCATCTCTTTTTTGGGCAATTGATCGAGTACAGCGCGCAGGCTAGGTTCCGAGCCGAGGGAAATAACGCTGAAACCCTTCGACTGCCCATTTGCGCGATTCTCAAAAAATTTCACCTCCTGTAAATCGTTGACACCAATCTCGCGTAAGGCATTGGAGATGTCCTGATCGGTGGTCCACCAGGTCAGGTTACCCACATATAGTTGATAGCGGCGGTTCATCGTTGGAGTTTGGCTACCACTGCCCTGATGGTAAACTCCATTTGGACCGACACTAGAAGAACCATCGATGGATCCGGGCCCGGAAGCATTATCGCCCGTAGGGGTGCCACCACCGCCGCCGCCGCCCGCAGCTGCTGGCTCGGTGGGGCCGCCGATGTCATCGTATAAATCAACGCCGTCGCCACCAAATTCATCCTAATGCAAAATATGATTATGTTGAATAAATTGACAGATGTACGTACACACATATATATAAACATATATATTTGTGAAAATATCAACAATGTTATTTAATATACCCTCTTCATACATACATACATATAAATGCGCGCACACACGCACACACACATTTGCATATGCAAAGCGTGGTGATGCTTACTAACCTGAGCTTGCCCGGCAAAATCCTTGTCCAGATCTTCGGCATACAAGTCCAGCACCACGCCGTCTGCCATGGTTGCGTGAGTGTTAACTGGACAAAAATTGATTTTAAACGCACGCGACCAACTTATTTAGCGGTGCCGTGCACACTTTTTCCACTTTCACACACACACACACAATCAAAAGCCGCTCGTACAGTTGAACAAGCAGCCACCGGCGTGCGGCCTACGTACGAATGCAAGTAAAGCCCGTAGTTGACAAGTAACTATTTATTTTATTGTTACTAATATGCGATATTCACATATATTATATTTACATTATAAACAACACAGCTTTTTCGACTATTGTTGCGAAAAATTTTCTGCAGCTACAGCTAAAATGGCGGAGATGTTCAGAGTGACCGTTCTTGAAATTCCGAAAAATGTCTAAGAAATCCATATTTAGCACATTTGGATGTTATACAGCACTATAGGGTCGTGCGTTCAGTATTAACACGACAGTTTTTTTTTAAATGCGTAACGGCTATTTAAAACTTGTACAAATGAGGAACTTCCGAGACAAATACAATATTTGGTTTAAAGGGATCTTATTTATTACTATAAATACTTGGTATTAATGAAATGAAGGGTTGTTTTAAGGATTGTAAGTCTTCTTGGGGCGAAGATCGCAATATGTTATTCCTGGTCCAATGCATGCAGCAAAACCCATTAGATGAGGTAATGTGCTTTGTTCGTAAACGCCGCTGAACAAATGCGCCCAAGGACCTAAAAAAGCAGTTTAGGTTAATGAAACAAAATTTGTATAAAGTTTCTCTGTTACCATTAGCATATACAGCAACGTCACCACCCCCGTGAGTTTCCTCAGACATGGGAACGCCATGTGGATACCTTTCGTTCCTATCACCAATGTTCAGCGTACGGAGATCAACGCGTTCAACTGTGCCATTTACTGATTTATAGAACCTTTGGTAGTCCGGGCCATTGGCGTAAGATAAAGTGGCGTACGGCAAGTTGTCTACATCGCTTAATTCTGAGTTAAGACCGGTTATGCTGTTGTTTATATCGGGGTAGCCGTTAATGGTCATAGTATGTCCATGATCGGCGCTTACAACAATTAGAGTTTCCCAAGGATTGGTCAATTGGCGCGCTTTCTTAACAGCATTTGAGAATTGCACTGTTTCGTCCACGGCCTTCTTAGCCTTGGTCTCGTGGTGGGCATGATCGATGCGACCGCCTTCGACAAACAGAAAGTACCCAGCTGGATTTCCCGACAGCACTCCGATTGCAGCTTCGGTCATCTCCTCGAGCGACGGGGTATCTATGCTATCATCCAAATTGTAAGCCAGATGTGAGGCATTGAATAAACCCAATAAGTAGTCTGTATCGTAAGGATTGTTGCTTAGCAGATCCGTGCGGTTAAAGACAACCCGCGCATTGCCAGTTTTGCTCTGTTGCCATTCATTAATTAGATTGCGTCCATCCAGCCGCTCGCCCACGTTGCCATACACATCTTTCATTGTATTGGGCAGAAATTTCTTGGTGCCTCCACCCAATACAACCCTCAAGCCTTGACCCATCTCATCCAACAGCTGCTGCGCAATGTCAGGGCAGTTGCTCGGATTCTGGCCCAGATCCCTAACATCCAAATCGCTTTCAAAGTCTCGATTCGATGTGTGTGCATAAACTCCAGCCGGACTTGCGTGGGTAACGCGCGTTGTCGTCACCAGTCCGGCAGACTTGCGTCCGCGTAGCGCCCAGGCTGCAATGGAGGAAAGGCGATTTTGGGGTAGTTTCGCTCCGGCACAGTTATTTAACTGTACATCGGCTGAGACGCCGATCGTGTGATAATTGGCCTTTACGCCGGACAGATAGGCGGAGGCCGTGCAGGCCGAGTCGGAAACTTGTTTGTCCACGCAGTATGTCTGAAGGAAATAACGGTGAGGCATGAATTACCGATAACTGGCTCTGCAGGGTTTTTGGATTACTTTTGATAGTCCCACGTAGTCGAACTTTTCAAATTCCAGGCGATTCCGCTCGCCTATGATGCCCTTCTGCTGTCCGTCGTAGATGCGCCCGGCTGTGACAGTCGGCACGGACATGCCATCGCCCAGGAAGAAGATTATATTCTTGGCCAAATACTGGTTGGGCAGCGTCGTCAGCTTATCGTAGAGCGTGCGCTGCGCATCGTGGAACCAGAAGTCCTTGCTCTTAAGATCGTTTGTAGAGCGAATATTCCATGTGGGATCTGCAAAACCAGCATAGCGAGAACGAAGTTGAGCGAAAGTTCTAAATTTTTGTATATTATTTATATTAATTAATTTATTATCACATTTGCACATCTGTTTTGATTATCACTCGATTAGGCATATATATGTATTTCGTTTGTTTTGTGTTGGAATTCTTTTGTCGATCTTTCGCACTCTCACTGTTTGGACTTTTAATATATGTGGCACACCGTTAAATGTCACGCACCTGGCCCATAAATGTACTGACAATAGCTGAAAGCAACTTGAATCGAGAGCGTTAACCAGAAAGCACGCATTGTCGCAGCGGTAAACGAATTTTGATGAACTCTAAATGAATAACTTTCGACTGCGGTGCTCGAGAACTGTTTAAGCGCCGTTGAAGGGAATACGTGCTTATTTATATAAGTTCAGTAGATTGCAAATTTGTATTAATGGCAAAGACGAGCGGTAGATTAAAACTCGCTCTGGGCTAAAATACCGGTCTCATTAGGTAACCTTAATGCAACGCTTTCAAATACTTACATACTGCATATCCAATAAATATATATACGTTCCATTTAGATGTGTTTAATTGATCAAGCAGCTGTTGTAAATCGTTGTCTACAACTGCTCCGGTCTACAACTAAGGCCTTTAATCAATTATACTAAGTATATCTAACATTTTTTTAGGCTACTTAATTTATTACATAGTTACCTTTGATAACTGTCTGTGGGTGGAAAACTAATGGAAATACTATGAGGTAATTCCCCGGGAAACAGGTTCGATTTAAATAATTTTAGCTTGTTGAAATTGCCTATATTACTTTGTTTTCATATATTACTTTTGATTGTTAATAACATAATATTAATCATGCCTGTTTTTTCTCAGATTAATTGCATTTTATTAGATTGTTCAAATTCTGATTTTAACGGATGGACATTTAATTTTGGGGGCAGGGAACCCTTATGCCAGTTTTGAGCAGTATTTATTTAGTTTGTTTTGTTGTACTAAAACGATATTCATGTGGTGATAAAAACTTGTACATTTGTAAATTGAATGTCAGCGCAAAGACCGTAGATCAAATTGAGGAAAGGGTCATTTGGCAGCAAGGCAATCCAAGTGAATTTTACCTTCACCTTATTACGTTCACTCTCGTTGCCAATAATACCCTGCACCCATAGAATATGTTAAGAGGAATATTGACTTAATTTGTGGTGAGAAGCTCAGATTATAATATGCGTTTCCCTAACTCAAATTTAATTTCGGGACTTCACTACTGTACGTGAAACATTACAAAAACAGTTTACACATATGCTTGCTTCATTTGTTAGTAAACATTTGCATTTGAATTTCATTTTTTTACGCTGTTTACCACTGATATTCGTCGATATATCGATACAGCCGTATCAGCGCTGATTTCTTGTGCGCGGTCACACTAGTGAGTACGTTTCGATTGTTTAAAACATCGATTCAATTTGTGCATCGAAAAATTTAGCCATCCCTATAAATTCACAAATTTCTTTGCAAAATTTCATGTTTTATTTTGAGAAAATTGTCGTATGAGTAAATAAATTTATTTAATTGACATGCGCTAGAGAACGTTTTGTTTGGCAAAGGTTGCTGCATAGAACACAAAGGGCAAGCAAGGTGAGCGGTGTGATGACATTGTAATCGCGATAAGTAAAACAAAGACTACTCATGTCCCCTTCGACGAGCAAAAACAGAAAACAACACACACACACACATACAGACACATAAGCTCGCATACAGGTGTATTGCGCTGAAACGCATATAATGATATAAGTTGAAAACCTCAATGCTGCACAGTTATTTATAATTGCAAAAAATATATTAGACATTTGCAGCATTGCAACAAAAACAACTGGTTCTTGCCACATTGAAAAATATATCAGCAAGGTGTCTGCCTACGAAAGCATGGATTTGCAGCATATGGAGAATGGCCTCAGCGGAGGTGGCGTTGCTGGAGGAGGTGGAGGGGGCGGTGGCCTCAGTGAGATTGACTTTCAGCGATTGGCCCAGATAATCGCGACAAGCATACAAAAAGTCCAACAAAATGGTAAGTACTACTCTGGGGCGTGTTCCCATTTCTAACCTATGACTAATCGCTGTGCCCACTCTACTATTGCTGCGCAGTGTCCACTATGCAGCGAATGGTCAATCAGCTGAACACGCCACAGGACTCGCCTGAATTGAAAAAGAAACTGTAAGTGCTCGTGCGAGTCTTGCTTGAGCTATCAAATAGCAAAGCTAATGTAAATTTGTAAAAACTGACCGAAAAATGTACTCTATACACAGTCATCAGTTAATGACCTATACCAAGCAACTGGTAACCGATACCAACAATCAGTTGAAGGAGGTGGACAAGTGCAAGGAGCGGCACTTGAAAATACAGCGTGATCGTCTGGTGGATGAATTCACAGCGGCATTGACCGCCTTTCAGGTATGTTGAATGTCTTTAGCGCAGAGCTTAGCAACGAAATAAGCGAATTAATGTATTTGATTTACAGGCAATTCAACGTAAAACAGCTGATATTGAAAGGAGCGCATTGCATCAGGCGCGGGCCCATAACTATAGCATTGCACATCCGCCTGGCTCGACGCGCACCAGCACCAATAGCAGTAGCAATGACAATGGTTCCTTCTTTGAGGACAACTTTTTCAATCGAAAATCAAATCAGCAGCAACAGCAGCAATTGCAAACGCAAATGCAGGAGGATGGGGATCTGCAAGCACTTGAGGAACAGGAGCGTGCCATACGCGAACTGGAAAGCAACATTGTGGGCGTCAATGAAATCTACAAGAATCTTGGTGCTATGGTCTACGAACAGGGCTTGACAGTCGATTCAATCGAGTCACAGGTGGAGCAAACAAGCATTTTTGTCTCACAGGGCACTGATAATTTGCGCAAGGCCAGCTCTTACAAGGTAAATAGCAGCTGCCTCTATGCCATATACATTTTTTACTTAATTGTGTTTTATCAATCTTAGAACAAAGTGCGAAAGAAGAAGCTGATACTGGTTGCCATACTAAGCGCTGTGCTTTTGGCCATCGTTTTGATACTGGTGTTTCAGTTCAAGAACTAAACATTGGAAACGATCAAACTAGAAAGCATCTACACATTTAAATAAAAACTAGTAAATTGTTTGTGAAAAGACAAGTGTTGCCCCATGCAGGTCCCCTATCGGCACTTTAGACGCATCTGTGGCTTTAATACTTCAATTTAAATTAAAAACAAAAAACAAATTTTAAAAAAAAAATTGGCTAAACACGGGAAAACTTATGGCGAAATTGGCCAACTCAGTTGCATGTATCGAAAAGTATTTAGCACACAGTTAAGCGGCGCTTACACATACACGTATCCATATGTTATATATACTTATTCTCTAACAAGTTATATTTTCTATATATATGTATAATTATTATTATAAATAATGCACTTTGTATTGTATTATATTGATAGAGTGTGGCGCATTCTCAAATTTGTTAGCAGCATGTTTTAAAACGATTCCAAACTCATTTGCAAGCGCTTTGTAATGTATTTAAGTTTAAGAGGAAGGCATACAAAATATATAAATATACGACGGTACATGATAATACACATGAAATATAAAATTAACGAAAAAAATATGTAAGATCAATGCAGGCCAAAATCCTTTCAACAAAGCATTTCGAGTACTTCATTTCGGGGCACTGCATGAAATGAATGAATCAATGAATGGGCTGGAGTTCAGCACCACATTTTGTTGGGCGTTTATTGGATATTCAAAATGTGCCTGATCATGGCCATGGTCGCGTCATCAACGCCTCGCACAGCCATAACGATCATTAAGATTTGGTTGTGCACTGATGATACGCATGCTTCAGGGGCTTAGCCCCTGGATGGAGCTCGGCTGGGCTTACTGGACTGGCCAACTGGGTGTTCAGCACATATTAATGCAACGGCACACCGGTATCGATGTGTGCTGTGTGTGTGTGTTTGTGTGTGTGAGTGTGTCTGTGGATGCCACTTGAGCCGCAGCCGTTGTTGAGGTGTGTCAAGTAAAGGGTTTCCTCGGGCCGGACTCTGGCCTGCATACAAATTGAGTTTAAATTTTTTGCCAATTCACTGACATTGATAGTTCGTTTGGGCATCGTTTGTGTCGTGGTGGTGGCTTCTTATCCACTTGTTGGCATCGAGTGGTTTTCTCGCATGCATTTAAGTGCAGCTCATTTCCTTCTCTATCGCCCTGGGGCAGCCAAATATTGTGCGCTGTCATGCACCTATTTTTAATACTAAGACGTATCTCTGCTCTAACTTAAGGTGGGGCATATTAAAATTACCACAAGGCTTGCAACAGTTTGTTATAAAATGTTGTTGGAAATGAAAGCTGCCTTTCTATCTGGTTCTCAACTATTAAGTTATGTTCTAATTGTTTTCAAACAATCTTTTTTTTAGCGTAAATGGGCTAATACTTCACTGATAGGATGGCTTACTGAGCATTATATTCTAATAAACATATATTTGAATATGAGAGCTGCCTTTCTATCTGATTCTCAAAGCCTAAATGAAGGTAAAATTGTCATTAGGCCAACTTTTTGCTTACCAATTTCTGTTGCATTGCTCTTTCAGGGTATTATAGGTTCGGCTTGGTGAGGATAGTAATAATTTCTTGTTTATCGTGGGCCTGCCTGGTTGGCTGTCAGTGGCTGTCCAAATACGTCATCGATATTTCGTTTTTTTGGAATTAAATTATTGATTGCTCGACTGGGGGTTACAGTTTACGACACGGCCTAATCACATCGATTATCGGTGCATGTACATGGCTGGCACTTGGCATCCATTCATAACTCTCTCTCGGCTGCTGCAAAGACAAAATCCAGTGCCGGGGCCACAGGTCACGTTGCGGCTGATTCGAGTGCGTAGGTGTTGGACATTAACAGAACTGTGCACACCTCGCACAGCAGGTAGCACCGTGTGCGAGCTCTATGGCTGGTTTAGTGTTTGCATAGGCCTGTGCCCATGATAATATTGACACATTCTGGTGGTCAGCACACAGAATCTCATTTGCGAAGTCATTTTGTACAAATAAATCCAGCCTCTGCACCGTGTCGTGTCGTTTTCCCAACGCACAAACCGCATGTTTTGACTTTGCCACCAAAGAGTATTTGGAAATGCGCACGGAAATTCCGGCGTATATAATTATTACTTTTTTTTTTGGCCAACTTGCTAAGCGCGGATTGACTTACCAACTTGCCAACTTGCCGGGGTAATGGCAATGGGTAACAAAACCAGAGGCATAGCCTGCAAATAATCCCTGCACATTTCACACGTTGCTTACGTTCGCCTTAGCCGTAGCGCATCCAGTTG